ACCTAAAACATTATTGTAGTATAAGCTTGCAGATGTCAAAGTAGGTGATACTAACGGTTCCCCTAATCTTTAAAAGCTAATCAGATCTGGTTGGAGAGTTTCAATTAAGCCTGATTGTAAACAGAATTTGGTTCTCCCACAGAAATTTACTCACAGGAAAGGAATTTTGACGTAACTAAAAAGTTTTTCCTCTTGTAGGCCAGTGGATGTAGGATTCCTCTGTTGTCTGCCTTTGCTACTCCCCTGAAATTATTTTCATGACACATTTCTTTCAGACTATCTTCTTGTGGTCCCTCATAGGAACTGCAGCCAGCCTCAGATCTCTTCCTCCACAGTTAAGCTCCCCATACCCACTCCATGGTGCACTATGTCCTGAGATGGAGAACCATGAGAGGTGGTGTACATCATGACAGAAGTGAATTCAGGCTGTGTGGAAGAGGTTTTGATGATACGCTTCAGTGCCTTTCTGACTTGCATGTTTTTACTTAAAAAGTCAAAATTGGAGGAATGAACATCCCATTTTTTTCATCTAGTTCTGTCTAGGTGTTCATATGGTTAGGTCAAGCTTTATAATGCTTCCGTGAGACTTAAAGGTTAATTGTCTTAGTCAAAGTTAAGAAAAAACAGATATTTTCTTAAGCACACAACTTAAGAATCTCTGCTGGTTGTTTTAAATGTGGGGCCTGAATTTTTACTTTGAATGGTCTTTTAAGATCTTTAAAAATGGCTAAAAGTAACATTGAGGTCCAGTGCTATCTTCATCTTTCTCAAGGAATTCCCACCTCTGCCATTACTTGCAGATTTGTGTTTGGTTCTATTCTTCCATGATGGCAGTTGCACTGCCTTTGCAACCTTTTGCAGTTCAGTGCTTTATTTTCTTTATCCTTGGGTGAGTTTTCATGTCTAGCTTGTCTGCCAGGTTACAGCAAGAGTTTTACTTCTTGTGTATTGTGTTATGTGCATAGGGAGCATTTTTCTCCAATCCTGTATCTAACAAATTTCTGTGTACTTCAGTGTGTTTATATATGGTGCTCTCTTTGGTCTCTGCAGTCTCATTCCTCCGTCATTCTCTGTAGGTCCTGCTTTTTTTTTAAATTTTTACTGCCTTGATGGACCACTTGACCTTAATTGAACTAAATAAATTAAAACTTTCCTAATTAAACTGAGAGAATTCAACAGGGTTCACTGTCTAACTGGATGAACACTTGTTTAAACACAAGGCAAAACAGAATGACTTCTTTCAGCAGGCTTGTGCTAACATAAAATACTTGTGGTGATACATTTTAGCTTTAGGAGCTTTTCAGGATAATGCTGAAAGATAACTGACTCTGACACTAAGTTAGTTCTGAAGAGGTCCCTGTTGATGTGTAAGCATACTACACAGCAGCTACAGGTTATTTTAGCAATGATAATTCGATTGTAGGAAAATATATTTCTTGTAGAAAAAGTACGCAATCTAATTTTTATTTTCCAGTGTTCATAAAACATGAATGTTACCTCTTTTGTATAAATCCAAGGTGACCTCAGTATTAAGTAAGCTTGCTACATTTTTCTGTGGATGATATGTTTGGAAGTGTGCTGCAGAAAGTTTTTACCTGTAGACAGTTGCTGAGAAAAATATTTTACTGATGCCTAAAATCTCAGAGACATGAATGCAGGTAAAACAGCTCTACGTTTTTAACTGTCACAGTTAAGGAGACTGGGGCTGTCACAAGTCATGACTTAGGAAATCTGTGGCTTGGCGTTGTTCTGTACCTCTAGAGTTTGGTGATTTACAGTAGACCTGACTGGAAATGATGAAAATGTCATTTAAAATATTAACAGTGACCTGCCTTTTACAGACCTGTCCAAAATTACCTCATGATTAATCTACAAAAACCTCATAAAGCCCACATCCTTGTTTACTATTTGGAGTGATGTTTGTTTGCATCAGGTCGTGATATGACCTATTTTGCATAGTGAAGTGTGTAGCTAAAAGAATGGAAATCAAAGGTCTTAATAGGATTGATTTTGTAAGCCATTTGTTTTTTAAAGGAGATGGATGAGTGAATGAAACTACCTATGTTATTTAAAACTGGCCTTGAAATAATTACATTGCTGATTCAGTCATGTGGGACAAATTGCAGTTTTAATCTTTCATGTTGTTACCAGCATTTGCAAAGTATCAGGACACTGTAGGAATTATGATGAACTCTGCCAGCTTTAGAAGCTGCCATAAGGATATAAGGATTTTTGCATATGCTCTAATTTAATTTTCTGCTGTATTGAAGACACTCTCTGTGTAGCAAGTTTTTATGGTGTGTTTAAAAGGTGGGGCAACTTGTAAGAAGGCGAGGCTCTCATGATGCACGTAATTTTATTTTGTAGTATGAAAGTATTAAGCATGGTGATGTTTGCTGAACTGTACTGTTTGTTAAATGCAAATAACTCTATCAAACTGTATAGACTGCCTTTTTGTTCCACTGTTTTTAATCTGCTTTTGTATTTCTGTTTTTTCACATGCAGTTGGCTATCTATCTTGCACAGTTTTTCCTTTTTATTTTTCTTATGGGAGTCTAATGGACTGTGCAGAGACCACAGGCACTAGCAAACTTACTATTATGATTCACTGGGCCTGCAGTTGTGGCCTTTTGAGAAATTGTTGAGATGTGAAAAAGAAAATCTTCAATACATTTGGAATCTGTGCCAGATCTTGTCAAGACCATTATTAGGCTGCACTTGTCCTGTTGATTTATTGTATATTTAAACCTGTCTTTTAGTGTCACTGCAAAGCTGAAACCAATGGCCTGGTTTTGATTACCTCATACGCTGGTGTCAGCCAGGAGTGAGCTGTATTGACGTAAGTGAAGTTCAGGTGTGTAAAAGCAGTGTGAAAAGAGAATCTCATCCAGACTGTTATACCACTGTAATTTGAATGTGGTTTTCTGAGGTGTTTCCATCTGATCCACTTGTGGATGGCTATACAGAGTGAGAGCAAAGATTCATCTAGCTCTTCTACTGTTTTTAAGACTGTCTATTATTGGAAACATCGTGAAGTCATTAAGAAACTGGGCAGTTATGGAGTGATCTTTTCCTTTGTGTATCTTCCCAGCTGCTGAAGGCTCATCAGACTTTCTGAGCTAGAAATTTTTCTCATAAGAGAAAGAATACAGCTCTTCAGGCAGCTGTAATAGCCAAAAGCCCTTTCTTATGTGTGACCAATATCCAATATTTCCTGTGACAGCATTTTCTAGCCCTGTTCATTATCCAGGGCCTCCTTAGTTGCTGGCATGGGTGCTCTGATAGGCTCTGGTGCCTTTTGGGAGTCACCCTGTGCAGTGTGTTGGGTGCAGGTAGAGGTGGGGGCTTAGTTTAAATAGCTGGTCTTGGGGTTTATAGAACATCCCTGCCTGCTGTACATTATAATTGAAGCATTCTGAGGAGGAGTTTCCTAAGGCAGAATGGCATTGGATGTAGCCATTCCTTGGCTTCTTTCAGAGTTTTTTCTTCTCTTGCTTGTAACTCTGCTTTAGGAAGGATTTTGACATCTGAGTTCTTTGGCTATTAAGCCACAATTGTTTCAGCTTCAGAGAGTATTTGAGGAACAGTCCTAGGATGATGATTGTAAAAGAGAGGAGGGAGAGAGAGGAAAATTACCTATGTTTGCAGATTTTTGTCACATGGTTTCAGAGGGGGCAAGTGATTTGCTTGTCAAAGTCCTAGTTTGATTTGAAGTCAATGGCCTGTTTACGGTACATTTATACTTACATGCAATATGGGAAATCCAGCTGCCTGACCCTTAGCTATCAGAGAAATTGCTTTGTCATGGGAAGCCACTGCAAGCTCTAAGTGTGACATCTATGAAGTTCTTGGAAGATGCTGTGTTTTAAACACTACCAGGTTAGAACTTAAGCATAAAATAAAACAGGCTCTGGCTGAATTGCTCTGTCTATGTGAGCCTTTTCTCCTTAAGAAACCGCATAGACAAGCCTAAGGTCTTGTTTCCTCAGATTCTTCCTTCGCATCTGTGCAATGCCAAGGCCTGTACTCTGAAGACAGTGTACATTTCAGATTTAAACAATTCTCAGTGGCCTCTGTTGGAGCTGTTCCAAGTTGTGCATGGATCAGAATCAGGCTGTATTCCTTTATGATAGTTAAATGCCTTACAAAATACTTGAATCTGTTAAAAATTATCAGACAAATTTGTGGCTACTTTAGGTAGACCTACTTAGAAAAGCAGAAACACAAATTCAAGAGGCAGATAACGAGTCAAGTTTTTGCATGTTATCTGAGAGCTGCTAACTGTACACATGTTCTCAGCCTGTCACAAATACACAGTACTACAGTGAAACAGTCTATCTCCTACTTGGTTTACCCACATGATAATGAGTTAAAATCATACAGGGAAATCTTTGCACCACGTTCACTAGCAATTATTTCTCCTTCACAGCTGAAAGTCAAGGTCCTAAGTAATAAGGATGAATCTAAGAAAATATTTCAGAATTCCATAATACATTATCTTTCTCTTAATTTTACTTAGTTGATTTAAACACCATGATCCGTCATTTTCCTTCAGACATCAGTTACCTTCCATTTTATAGCTGTCATATGACTGTGTTCCAAAACGCTAGATGCAAATTATGATATATGATGTTAAGATGATGAGAGTCAAAAGGATACCAGTTTAATACTTGTAGTGGCTTTAAATTATTTTTGCATTTACCCATATTTCTTGTGTTTTCTTGTTCATATTGATTGATTGTCCATATTTCTTGCCAAACTGGCTGATTTTGCTTTGAGATTCCATTTCAGAGCTAGTTTTGTCTTCCCTCAGACTGCCCCCTCCTGATTCATGATCCCATTTGCAGTGTCTTTAGTGCAACCCATCAAGGGTAGACATTTTCAAAAAGCTTTTTTCTTTTTAAGCTTTAGTGCCTAATTAAATAGGTGGTTGCTAAGAGATTGTGGAAAACATCATTAAGAGGGTCTGATTTGCTTTTTTCATTACCTTCCATGCGCAGGTTTCAGATCAGAATTTATGAGTAAATGGGATAGCAGCATCCCAAAATATTCCTGAGCTGAGATTGTGACAATGGACAGAATACAACGAGACTGTGCCAGTCCTGTGCCACCAGGAGATGCAGAGAGGGACAGGACTGGAGAACAAGACCCAGAACTAACTGTGTTGGGAAAAGCACAAGAGTTCTTTCAGATTTGTGATCTGGAAGGCAAAGGCTTCGTCACTCGTCAAGACATGCAGGTAAAACAAAATTGGTTATGTGAAATGCAGAATGAGAGAAGCTCTTAATGCCCTTAACGAGTTGAGAGGGATTAATTTAGAGTTAAAAGTGTTAACACCCTCCTCATAACTTTAAACAGATACATGGAATTTAAAATAATATATTTGAAGTCTTACATAATGCCTGAATTTTTTTTCCAGTTAAAGCAACAAAAAAGTGGAAAATCAAAGTAAATGAAGTTTAAAAAAATTCCCCGGGAATTTAATTCCATTCTCATCGAAAAAATTGAAACACCAGTAAATTCATTACTTTGCAATTTGCTACAATGTCATGAATGTATTCAGTCCATCAATTTTATCCTTCTGTTTTTTCAGTAAAATTGTATAAATAAAGTCTTTCACTTTGGTTTCATTGCCCAACAATGGTGAACTCTCAACTGGATCACATATAAATGTAGGAAGTATAGAGGAACAGTATTTTTAGCATTATTCAGTATTTGCAGTAACCTTACCTATTTGTGTTTAATTTGTTTGAGGGCCCAAAATCAGATTTGCTGAAAATGTTGACAAAAAAGGAACTATATTTAACAAAATCTTTTGAAAATGTGATTGGGTGCATACTACAGAACTGATAAGATGATTTGAACCAGTATGTGGCAGAAAACAAGTATAAACTCATGCATGACATGCAGATCATAGTTTAATTGTGTTAATCCATTTCTACTTCACTACTTACGGATGAAATAGAATTGGGGAGTGGGAGCAAAATGAATTAATTGCAAACAACTATCAAAACACGTAATGTAAAATTTACAAACCTTCCATGTCCTCAGAAACAAAGATGTGTCTGTATATAGGAAACAATTTTAACTACCTAGAAAGAGCAAAAACCTAAGTAAAAAAAAAACCAAAACAACCAAAAGCAAAAACCCCCCAAAAATCTAAGTAAACTGCTCAGTTTACTAGCTCTCAAGAGGTTTCTGTGGTTTCTGTGCAGTTTTGTGTTTCTGAGTTTCCGGATGACCTTTATTAATTATCCAAAGTCAAAAAAAGAGGGGGGTGCAGATTCTTGCTGTACTGTAGGCTGTACCAATCTACATTATCTCATTGAAGTAACTGAACACAAACAAATATATTGCCAGTGGTAATTTTTGGTAAAACTAGACCTACAGAGAATTTAGTAGATTATAATTTTGTTGTCTTTCCAAAAACTGAATGGCATATATTTTTACCTAGTGGAAGACCATATATGTGTATAAAAAGTTTTAATGCCTGTTTTCTCAAGGAACGTAAAATTGTTTGTTTCTGTTTGATTCTGGATTTTATGCTTGGAGTGCTGATAAATTTATACTTCAGGTTCTAAAGATGCAATAGAAAAAGGATTGCAAAAACAAATAAAGTACATTTCTTCTATTTCATCATGAGTGCTTGTTCACTGTATCTGACAACTTCAGTATATATGTAAGTGTATGTAAGTTCATTTAAATGCAAAAATGAAGGTGCTCAGGACACTTGAGATGGTGTTTCTTTATACTTGCTTTAATTTCCTGTACTTTTCATAATGTTTTCTCTCTATAGCAAAGACATAAATCAATAAAGTAAATCAATTTTTTCTTTAAAAGGTACTAATTGTTGATCATATTTACATTGTGCTGTTAGGTAGTTCTGTGCTGCTTACCATTAATGAAGCTTTGCTTCAAATATAGGATGGTAACATTAGGCGTTTCAGTCTTTAGTCATGTGATACAAGCATGATTTTCAACAGAGAGTGCTGAGTATCTGATATCCAGTTAATTTCAATGGAACAAATTTTGCAAAGTTTTCTAATGTGCCTGTAATATGGTAATTATACTAAAGATTTACTTCTCCCTGATTATATCATGCTGTTTATTGTGAGACTATGTCAATACTGATTTTTTTTTTAATAGCAAATGTACTCAACTTTCAAACAAACAAGAGGTTTTCTGAAATTGCAAGAAAGCATATTCTACCTGAGACTTGAAACCACAGCTTCGTCCTTTTGGTCTTGAGGTTGTAATGAATAAAGAGAATTAATGTTGTAGAGTGTGTATAGCAGAACTGAGTTCAGATCTTGCCCTTAGCTATTTGACCTCTGTCTTTTTATTTAGCAGAGTAAAAGCTTGGTATTTTCAGAGAATTAAGCATAGGTGTCATGAAAGCACAGAGCACATTTAGTGGCAATGCAGATAGTTTCTTTTGAAGCTCCAATAGTATCTCTGAATGTTTTATTTCTTTTTCTTTTAAAATTTTCGAGAGCCTCATATTTAAAGGATTTTACAGTAAACCTGAAATGAGCAGATAAACAAAACCACAATTATGAGACCAATAACATTTTCTTTTCCTAACAACAAAAAAATTTAATTATTTTATTTAGAATAAAAACAAGTGGTTGTGAAAAGATTGACTTAATCTTAGTAACAATGTGTGGCCTAATTCATCAAAGTCTGTAAATTATCCACAGGAAATTTAATGGAGCATTCCTCAAAATCTCATACTTTCATATACTTTCCCAAGAAAATAGAAGTAATTGTGGTGGTTTCTGTTGTAAAATTAGTGTAATTCGCATCAGAATTTGAATACTGCATTAGGGCAGTCCAGCTATATTTGGAGAAGCATGTATTTTTCAGTCAGGTTTGCAGCAAGACCCACAAGCCATTGTACTGGAATAGCAAGTGGGTCTGTGTGGATGGCATGGTCAGACAAGGACAACCAGCTTTCAAGAAGTGCTTCTTCAGCAGGTCCCAAAGACCTGGCAGTAGGGGTACAGTTTCTGGTTTTTTAAGTGTAAAAAGAGTAATTTGTCTGAAGCACCTCCTCCCTCATCAGTGCAGTATAGGCTGTAAGACTTTTACAACAGAAGCTCATTTTTAAAAGTTTCCCTTTAGATCTAAGAGATTAAAATCCAAACCTTTGGGAAGACGGCCGTGTTTAAGTAAGAAACTGGTGACCAGATATATTGCTGATGAAGTAAATTTTCTTTGTTTTTTTGGAAGCAGGCAACAATTCACAATTAATCCTGCTCAGAAATCCCTTTTTGGCTGTTCTAGATAGTTCTGTCCTTTAGAAACTGTTGATTTCATTTCTCAAGACCGCCTTGGAATTCCTTTTACTGCTCTTCCTTCAGCTCATACAGTCCATTGCAGCCTTCATTGCAGCCAGGGAGATCCTGGTTAGTGCACTCAGCCAATTCTTACCTTGCCTATATGGCTTGGTATATTGAATAGTCATTTCTGTTGTACCTGGATTGAAGGAGAAACTTTCTTTGGCCCTAACTCCCTTCCCCACAGTGCAACAGTTTTAACAGTTTTAAACTGATGAACTTTATCAGCCGACTAGCTTGCAATTTTAGTATGTTTTATATACAACAGCAGTTTGGGGGGGGGGGATTAAAAGCTTAACTAATAGAGGACTTCACTGGTGTGTATTTATACTGCTTTTCAAGCTGGTGTTTTAATCTTCCTATTAATGTCTCCCACTGGAAATCCTTGCTGTTGTAGTTTGCCATTCCAGTTCCTCCTATTTCTGGGAATCTGTCTACACTGTCAAAAGAATTGGAGTAAATCCATTAGGATCAGTTTTTCAAATTTTTTCTTTTTTCTTCTATGCCTGTCTCAAGATTATCAGGGGAAAAAAATGTAGTTTTGTGGAGATGGTTTCATAAAGTTATGTCTTCTTTTGTGTAAGCATGCTGCATTTCAGAAGTAGACAGTCATAAACTACATTTAACTTGTTACAGGATCAGAAGGTCCTTGGTCTTTGGACCACGCAGCTTTCTTAGCTTTGTTTTATTTATTTGTTTGTTTATGCAGTTATTTTCAAAATTACATATTTTGAAGCAGCTTTAGTTAGGACAGTATATCCTCTATAATGTAGTCATCTGGTGAGTCTCTTGCTTGACCTCATGATGTGGAAGGAACTAGGCATACATTTCTGCTGCCAAGATTGTCCAGTAGCCACCAGGATGCTGAGTCTCTACCTTAAGTTCTTCCTCTCCCCTGTGTGATTGGAATTTGTGTCACAGGGAGCATGTTCTCACTTCTTTGTCATAATGGACTCATAAAGGTAAATAAAGAAGTTATTAAAGCAAATGTCCCTCAGTTGATCTTGTTTAACTCTGTAATGTGTTTGGATTTTCACTCTGGGAAACAAAGGACCTATCCTTCTGTATTATAGATGTTCTGTAGAATCTAGTCTTCCTCTTATTCTGGAGTAATGGATGAAGTTGCCGTATGTTTTATCATTTCAGAGACTGCTTCCTGAGTTACCTCTTAGCCTGGAAGAGCTTGAAAAAGTTTTTATTACATTGGATGCTGATGGCAATGGCTCACTTACTCCAAAGGAGTTCATCACAGGACTCAGTGAGTTTTGGAAAGCGTGTCTCCTGTATTGAGCTTCATTCGTGTTCTGTACTCTTCACATCAGTAAAGAAGCATTTTGTCTTAACAGAAGGAGGGGGGAAATCTTGTGTTTTATTTCAATCAGGTCATAAGACCTGGAAGATAATTAAGATTGTCTCTAAGATTAATGTAAGACAATGTTAAAAATGTGTGAATACCACTGTCCTTAGAGCTATGGAAATGCCTTCTACAACAAATTAATTCAAGTAATGTTAATTTATTTCAAAACAAAATAGGATGAGGCACTTATTACTGCATAATAGGAGCTAATAAGTTCTTTGTAATTGCCTGTTTTGCAACAGCACTCTTACTGTCTTGTTGTCTGTGTTTGTTTTCTCGCCAGCTGTGACATTCCAGATAAGATGACAATGTTAGGGAGACTGTTTTCGATTGTTTATGCAAAATCAGTTTTGTGCTTAAATTTTAGCATTTTCTCTAGAAAATGGAATGTCTTCTGTGTGTGAATTGAAACATGAAATCCCAATTTAAATACTATGTATTTATACTATTTATTTATAGTATTTATATAATACCTTAACTTTTGCTTTCAGATCACCAGTGGTTTGACATCTTAATTCTCTCATGTCCCACCTCTTCCATTGTAGAGCTAGATCAAGTATCTTAATAGACTATGGTTTAATCTGAAAATTGCCATTATTTAAAAATGAAATAATGTATTACTGCTTTACTTTTCACAAGTAAATTACATATTTCTTCAGTTAAATGAAGATTATTTTCATAAGTATTCCCTGCAAAACCAAAACTGTTTATTTAGTGAGGTTGTAAGTGGCTCCCATGTCCAGCAGCTCCAGATCCTGGAAATTGCTTCTGCTCAACTGCTGGAGCCCAGTCCAGAGAACAAGGAGGACGTGGCCACTGCTCTCCTGTTTGCAGATTCAACTGGCAGTGAAGTTAAATGTGTATCCCAGAGGCACCCACACTTGCACACACACAAGCACACAAAGGACATGGACACAGCACCTATGTATAGGATTCACAAAAGACAGATAGACAGTGTAAAATGTGGTACATTTTAACCTTCTACACAACATTCACAGGTATTTTCCAGGCTAGGTAGTCAAACATTTGGCTGGGTGATGATGTTGGTATTCCTAGCAGAAGCAGCAGCTGTATTAGATATAGGCTGCTATAGAAAGCTAGAGCATGGAGAAAGCAGAGTAGTATCTGGATAAAACTTGTACTGCACCAATTATCATGGGAGAATCCTGTTCATATTTGTAAATGGTGATAAATCTGAAATTTACTGTAGCCTTTCTTTGCAACATATTCTGTTCTGTTGTCAACATTCTCTGCTTGGTGCTGGAGAAAAAATGCAAGATGGAGTTAATAAGACCATAAAACCAGACCAGTTTTTCTGTTTCCTTGTGTCTATGGTAACTTCTGTACTGGTGTTTAGAATATAACAAAAAATCCTCTGCATACCCCGTTTGCCTAGATTCCTTAAAAATTTTGACTTGCAAATATTCAAATAAAATAGCTGTGACATTTAGAACTTGATGGAATGTATCTGGTCTGCCTCAGCCGAGCACAAGTGTATTGATTATTCATGTGGCAATTTCACTTCTGCATCCTCACTGTACAACTACTGTTAATAAAATACAGCTTTCTGTATGAAATTTATATAGGAATTTGAAGTGTGCCTTTGGTCATGCATTAAAAAGAATGTTATATTTTATTTGATGTACGTTTTATCAATTTTATCAATTTTGTAACCGATGCTATGGTTATTTTAGATTCCAAACATCTATTTAAACATATCAAAAAATGTGGCCACAAATTTATGAAGTGCTTTTTACTACAATTTATGTCTTTTTTTTGGTATGGAGATAAGAATTTTTTCATTAGGTTTGTGAATTTTGAATTGAGTTATTTACTGAAGGTTAGACATTAAAGTGGGCACAAAGTCAGCCACAGAACTCGAGATCCTCTTGCCATACCTCATCCTCATTATACTCTGCCTGTAAACAAGTGTAGGTGTTTCCCTCACAAATTGTACTTACTGTAAAATTTGATCTTTAGTATATTTAGTATTACATTGCTTCTTATAGTTGAGTTCTGAAAATGCTAATATGTGTAATTTCTAATTCTTAGGCCAGTTTCTTTTGGGGCAGTTTGCTTTGAAAAATGACATGATGCAGCAATCAGGTGAAACAGCCTGCCCAATTATATGCAAAGAGACCATGGGTGATGATGAGGATGAAGAATTCCAGTTCTCCAATCTGATGGATCGGCTTGGAGCTAAAAAGGTTTTAAATGAGTGAGTCTTTGCAGCAATAGTAATCAACTGTATGATTTTTTATAATTAATCTCTGGGTTTTACTTTAATTGAATCCAAGGTAAATAACAAGAACCAAGACTGCTCAGTAACACAGTGATTCTTAAAAATATTAATTTTCTTGGTTGTCAGATAAAGTACCAAAATTTCCAAGAGCAAAACTATTGTACTACAAGCATATGAAACTTGTTTTTCTGCCATATGAAAGCTAAACTACTTTATGTGTCGTGGGTTTTGAACATAATTAACATATAATCCACAGATGCCACTGATTTTCAATCAAACAATGCATGATGACTGCTTTTTTTTGGCAAGGCCTGTGTTTAAAGTGCACCAGTTAACCATAGGAAAGGAATTTTTCTCCTGTTTTTCTGCCTTTTCTCCCCTTCATGCATAATTGCATGTTGTGATTATTCTGATAACACTATCTCTTCCAGGGCCAGAATGGCTCACTCTGAAACATGGAACGTAAAACCTGCACTAGGATCTTTTTGTGTGTAGGCCTAACATTCTTTGTTCAACCACAAGGAATGTTCTAGAACAAAAAAAAGCATGGAGCAAAAATGGGAGAATCTGCACAGATGGTAGGAATATTTAAGAAATACATCAGTGATTCTTACCATGACATTAAAGTGCTCCTCAGTCCTTCTCTTCACCTGATTGCCTGTTACGGGTAACAGTTGGTTGTCAGTCATCCTGAAAGGCTTTCATTTTGAAGAGATTTTCATCACCCACTTTTTCTATCCTTATCCTCAATTTGTCCTTTAAATATAGCACTCTTTGCTGGCTAGGTTCAGGCTTACAATGCACATGAAAGAGAGTGAGTCAAGAATAAACAAACAAAAAAGTTGTTCAGGAGAATATAGGCAAAGTATTTGGAAACTCATCGCCATTCACGGTAGAGCATCTTTTTTCCAGTATCTGCTGAACATATTTGGAAACAAAACATTATCTTGGTAAGTCTTTAAATTGAAATTTCAAGATGTTTTATTCTGATTTTTGTAGCGGACTCACAGTAAAATCAAAATATGTTGAAAATGGAAGAAGTCAGTACAAACACAATTTCTTAACATGTCTAAGTAACTTACGAGGAAGGGGTTTTGATTAGCTTTTGCACTGCTCCCTTCACCATAGATTCATGAAAACCTCTTTGCTTCTAATAGAAGTGATGGGATGGCACACTGAATCTCATTGTATCTCTCCTTTCTTATCCATTCCTGTTCAGATGAAGTGTCTGGCAGGGCACCCACTAAACAAGCAGATCCTGTGATAATCTGCAGCCATTAATGACCACACATTATGATGCATTTTTTTGAATAAATGCAGTTTCCATCATTTCCCATCGACTTCATCCTTGTCAAATCTGGCACAGTTTAAGTAGCCCTTGTTTTTAATAAGTTGTGTATTCTGACTAGGGATGCCCTTAAGCCTCCATCTACTATGATGCTGTGAACATTTATTGCAGCTGGAGAAATGTTCTCTATTAATGAATCCTTTATGATCTCTACTTTCAGTGAGAGTGATGTGAAGCAACTTTGGTTGCAGCTAAGAAAAGATGAACCTCATTTACTTTCCAATTTTGAAGAGCTCTTGGTCAGAATTTTCTCCCAGCTCCAAGAAGCAGATAATGAGAAGAATGAATTGGAATGCGCTCTAAAAAAGTTAGTACTTCTCTTTGTTAGACCGTTTGTGTAGTTTTACAACTATCTTACCTACTGTTTGAACTTCTGAAATAAACAAGGTATTTCAGTGGAGAATGGAGGACAAGAGTTCCCATTATGTAATATTTTATTAGTCATGAAGAGTACTGGTAAAATTATTCGTAATGCAGAACTGGATGAAATTAGCTTTTCCAGTTAACAGACTTTGTTGACTGAAATTCTTTTGCAGATGTCTATTATTGCATTGAAGTTTTAAGACAACATTAAGCAATTCCAATCTAGTTAATCAGTTTGATTCCAGAGGACAGTCAGATTTACCAGTAAATCCGGTAAATTGTCCGTGTGCTTTGAAAACCCTGCGTGCAGAAAAGCTATAAATCTGGATTAACTGGCCAGAGACATAAGAGGTTTAAGATGTTAAAGCAGCATAAAGTACTGATATTAGTGAAAATGTAAGTTAACAAATATATATCTATAAAGCAAGCCTATGAAATGTAGTAAATAATATGTATTTGTTTTATATGTAAACCTACATGTATATAAACAAATACATAAAATACGTATATATATAAATATATAAGAACTAAAAATTAATAGATCTCCCTTTAATATATAGCTACGTGGGGGGGAAAAAGTTGTTATGTGAAATTGAAACAGAATGCAAAATTATGGTTGTAGTTGAAGTTCCTGTGTATTTTTATTGTGAAGTGTCGCTTCTGAATTTCAGAATCTTACAGATTGAGTAATGAAGGTAAATATACTGTTGAACGTTTACTTCATTTGTTCAGCACTCTCCTGGCTATTCTGAGAATGTGATAAGGCTTATGAAGAAGAAAAAGACCTAAAACTGTATGGTCATTAAAGACAATTGGTTTATATTGATAGTAGCATTTTCATCTAAGTCTACAAGTGTGGTTTTAGCCGTCAGACAGCTAATCAGTTGGAAACAGCATACAGAGACTTTTGCTGTCTCTTTTAGACTAGAGATTATTAACTACCATGTGTGGTTAGGGGTTTGTTTTTGTGGTTTTGTTTGGGATTTTTGTGTGTGGTTTTTTGGGAACTGAATGAATAAATTTGTTCCATTTAATAGCTGTGCTCAACACAGAGGTGCACAGAGAATGCATTAGCATTATCTTTTCTGGCTGATGTGAAATCTCTACCTTAAAAATGCATTGGATTTTTATACTTTTGTAGTAAAAACAGATTTTAACTAATTTCTTCTTTTTGTTGATCCCAATAACACCTCTAATTTCAGCAAATAGATTGTTATTTTGTTTGTAGTCAGTAGCTGGAAGGAGTCGGAGTAGTAATGTTGTCTTTAGTAACAATGGGGATGAATAACTTATTTTCTTTTAAACCATGTACGAATAACAGCAAAGCTCGAGACAAGACCACATAAAGGGGGAAAATTATTTTTTTAATACCCACATACTTACATTTTAGTACATGCATGTATCTGGATAGACCGGCAAACATTTACTGTGGGGTCACAGAAGATAATGGATGCTGGTTATTGAGGTCTTATAATGTCTCCTGGGTTGTTCTTGATTGTTAACAATAATAGCCTTTGGAAAGTGAATATGAATAATGTGATCTTTCATCTTTCCTTTCTACTTCATCTCTGTGAGTCATTAGGCAATAAGGCAGTCTACTCTCAGCCTTTTGTCTCCTTTCCTGGATGTAGGCTGTGCTTTTGTCTTAAGTTCGTCCTTTTTTTCCTATCCTGGATGCCCTGAAAAGCTTCATGTGCTTATGCTGGGATCTTTGTGCTGTGACAATCTATGCTGTCAGTCCATGATGTTCTTCTCTATCTGTTTTTTGTCTTTTCTTCTGGAGCTTTCCCACATGCGTATTTTCATTCCTGAACCTGAGGCCCATGATCTAAGAGACTCAGGGGTTTCCTCCTATTCTGGTTCAATACATACAGTATGCTGATGCTGTCCTGTTTGTAGGTCTGGGCTGTACATATATTCTCAATACTCAAACTTGCAAATACACCACACATGGGAGGATGTGCGGGTTAATCTAGAAAGAAAAATAATTGCGATTTTTAAATCTAAACAGAATGCGATTCTGTGGATACAATTTTTCTTTGCTAGGATAAGTTAGTTTTGCTTGATTTTCTGGTATTCATATTTATTTTGAAGTGATAATTTAAAATTAGATGGCTTCTTAAATTTAGCAGTAGTGATTTTTAAATAATATGGTGATGTATTAAATGAGCAAAAAAGCATTAGATGACTGTAAGGAAGATAAAAGTCATGCTAACATGATGGGCAGTTATAATTCCAGAGAAACCACTTGGGATTATTGCAGAAAGCTTCCTGGAATCATCAGTTCATGGTGCAGTGGCAGCCCAAAGACCCCAGTAAACTGTTGTGCATTATCAGGGAGGGTACTGAGCACATGACAAAGCATGTTTTTGCCACTACATGGAATCTTAGTACTGTATGAAGTTCTGTACAATGCTAGAAGAATATAGTGGGATAAAGAAAAGTACAGAGAATGGCAACTCAGTGGTTAAAGGAATAGAACAGCTATTCTGAGAGAGCTATTTTTAGAAGGTCGGATCTCTTGAATAAGGAGGCTAAGGCAGGAGTGGGATATGACAGACCTTGTTATTCTTCAAATCCCTGGCAGTAGAACCAAGGGGCATTTAGTAAGACTGATAGGAAGTAAGCTTAAAAGAGATGAGAAAGAGCTTTTTCTTATAACAGATAAAATCTTCAACTGCCATTAGCTCTGTCTGCTGCTGTGCTTTGCATTTGAAAGAAAAACCTAGTAAAAACATGGGCTGTGTTTCAAACCAGTTCTCAACTGAGAAGATAAACAAAAGTATAAAGGGGAAGTGGAAGGAAAACTGTCTTCTCATGGGCTTAGCATGGGACAGTGTCAGAATCGATCTTTGTGGAAGAGGAGAATCAGCATCTCAGAACATTAGTGCACAGTGTGCACAAATCACTGTGTTTTTTTAAGGAGAAAGAACAATTCACATTTCAGCTACATGAACAAGCAGAAATTAAACCCTTGTGAGTCTGTTGATCCTGAACTCTCATCTGAACTTAGTGAACTCGTTACATTCCATCTGCTTTTGTCTCCATCTGTTTGTTTCACAGCATTACTGGAAAAAGATCACATTATCAAATATTACTGAAGCTACGCAATGATGCGTTAAGTAAAACTAGATGGGATGATCCCAGGGAATAGAGATTTTAATCAAAACTTGTTGCATTTTTCACATAACAATGATATACCCTTATGGCTCCAGGGTTTTTCACCTGATTATATGTGGGGAATATTTACCAGCTAATGTGTGGGATTATTTTTTCTGCTGCTAGTTAATTATGTTACTTATTATTGTGTTACACTTTTGATTATAACAGGATATTTTTTATCCCTTTCTGTTTAATTTGATCAGAGTTAAGTCATGAATAAAATGCTTGGGGAGTATTCAACCTGCAGAAATGGTATGTGCTTATGTGCCAGACCAACTAAAAAGATTCCTACATCCAGCAGTGCCTCCTGGATGTAGTCTTGATGCTGCTGCCATATCCTTTGCTTCCACACACATAAGAGGAAAGAAATAACTGAATCAGCAGCTTAATAATATGGTACTAAAGTTATTCTCCCTGTCACACAGAAGCAAAGAAAATCTTTATGATTCCCATGGAAACACTGACTGCTGTGCAATGTGTTCTGCCTGTGCAAAGTTACAGGATTTTTCAGTACATAGTCAATCTAGCCCTGGTCAAAGTGACATTATACTGCACAAATACAGTAGATATATGATCTTAGCATCTCTGCCATACCTTTCTAAGTAATTTTTATTTCTTTATGAATTTGTGTTAATTTTATTCCATTGATGAGTGCTAATTTCTTATGAAGCATTTTTGTATTTTGAAGAAAATAAAATTTAAGATCAGAACACAACCCATCTTTACACTATAAGGGGAGTCAGGCAGCAAAAAGGGCTTCTGGATTTTCTGGCACTCTCTATTTGAAGTGGTGCAGTCAGATGAAGAGGTCCTTGTCTGGGCTGCTTTTCTCACCTGGTCAGAGTTTTAAAAAGTCTAAGTGACAGCCATCGTTTTCCTCAAATTTGTATAGGTTGACATTTGTTTACCGCTGCTGCAAATCCTGAAAAATTGTCTCCCCTCAAATTTTTTCCTGTGACTGAAAATACAAGCTGGCAGTGTCAAGTGTTCTGTTGTTTGAAAGAGGAAAGGAAAGACTTGTTTCTGGTTTTGCTCACTCTTCTTAGCTTAGGTAAATTTTTTGAAGTGTCTTTTCAATTTGCTTTACTCTAACTGAGAAGAGAGCCAGGCTTTCAATAAGTGAAAACAGGAAATGTAGAGCATTGAGGAAAAAGAAAAAAAGATACCCTGATTACAAAATTAATGTTGGGGTTTTTCTTTCTACTGTATATATTTTGTCTTGCTCTTACTGATGTGAATACCCATGGAGATTATGTACAGATTGCTCAAGTAACATCTATGGCAGGAAGAATATGGGGGAATATACAGTAATGTCATACAAAGACCCTATGAATCTCTATTAATAATCTTTCTAGGATGTCCCCTGAGTTTGATACAAAGTGATTTTTGCTTTTCAGTTTCTGGATTAATGAAAATATAATATAGTAGAATAGAACAGTAGCAGGGCAAAGCAGATGTCTTGTTCCCTGTCAACAGTTAAATTTTTTCTGCCCAAGCTAAAGCCTCTGTTCAATGTAATTCTTCATGTATAAAACTGCAGTGATATTAATTGCAAAATTCTATTGGGAAAAAAGTGAACTTTGTTGGTACTTCTTTTTTCCTGCAGTCACATACACTTGTGCACAGCATATTTATTTCTGTTCCTCATCTGGGCTTTTCAAATTTGTTTCAGCAAAGCTGTCAGAGAGGCAGTAAGGCAGCTTTCAAGAAGGTCTTTCAAGAATTCTGTTCTAGCTAACATATCTTAGATATGATAGAAGTACCTCATTCAGTGCTCTTGAGTGGGGAATAATGCAGTTCCAGAGTAAAAAATGGAAGTTACAGTGAAAATAATTTTAATTGGCGAACTTAGGCTCTGATATTCTTAGTATTGTCTGTTCCTTATACATAAGATTTAGTAGTCATTATAACTGCATAACAAACAGGTGCTTCGTGTGGAAACATCAGATGTGTAGCTTTATATGAACTTTTGAACTGTTGAAGCTTTTCTTCAATAAGAGGAAAAAAAAATTAATCTGTGAACTTTGCTGCACAAAAATTCCTATTTCCTTGACACTAGAACATTTGTTGGAGTCCTGTGTTAAGGCAGAAGTGTGGAGCTCAGTTCATAAAGTGAGCCATGACTTGAAGTAATGCTACTAAGACCCAGTCATTATACTTTTATCTCTTGTTAGGAAAATTGCTGCTTATGCTGAAGAAATTCAACATCTCTATGAGGAAATGGAACAGCAAATCAAAAAGGAGAAAGAGCAGTTTCTGTTGAAAGTGAGTGTCTCTGTTATTGTGGACATGGATTCTGCTTCCCCTTTCAGTGGTTTCATACTCATTTTGGGTGTCAAAGCCCACAAAATGCGTTTCACAACAAAATGAGAAAAAACATCTTTTCCCTCACAGTTACTTTTGTACTGATCCAGTCTCTGCAGCTTCAAACTAAGTGACTTGTTGGATGAGAGGAACATTGATGTCCTGTACTCAGTGGTTGGCATCCAGTAGCAGCTGGTATTCTTTTGGAAATTACTTAAATTACAAACATTTTATCACTGGTGTTGCTATAGTTTCAACTTCTGATCACAGTTATGAAAAATGCTCTTTGAGGTTGTTCAGAGCACCACCAAACCTGTTGAATTCCATAGTTTCTGCTTTCTGGGAGGAGATAGGATCTCACTGAAGAGCAACAAGAGATGATTCAAGTGATAGTAACTTCTGAAACCACCACAGCTATTTGAAAAATAGCAAATAGGTCAGATCCTTCTGTCATGGCCATGGTGCCTCCAGAACACCTGAAAATTAATTCCCTTTTCTTGCAAAGTCTTCTTTAAATCTCCTCTACTGCATTTGTAGTCTTTTCTTTGGATTTTTCTGTCCTGCTTTTTCTTGTAAAACAAGGAAACTAACAAGAACTTCCAGTATGCTTCAGAAAAGAGTAATTTTAGAATCATGGGTGGGAAGGAGCCTGCGGAACTCCTGACTTTCAAGCTAGATCAGGCTGCTCAGAGACTTGTCCAGTTAAGTTTTGAGTACTGAAATGCTGCATTTTTCACAGCTGCTCTGGGTGGCCTGGGACAATCCATCATGAGCTACTGGCTTATGCCTTTTTGTTGTCCTGGCATCAGCCATATAAATGAAAGCAATATAGGGTTTCAGCAACACACAAAATGTTGCCAAAATAGTGGTTATTTTCTCCATTCGCAATCAGATATGATATCTAAAACTTCCTTTTCCCCCCTAAATATATCAAGTATTTTATTAGCTTTTATCAGCTGTCTAAGGAACCATTCTTTTTACTTGCCTCACACACTAATGAACCTGACTCAAATTTTCAAGTTTTTTGCGTTCCTAGCTGAGAGCAGATTTTAGCGGTGGGTGAGATGAACTTTTTATATAAAGTTTGTGTATCAGCTGAAGGATAAAATGTATTTGCAACTTTACCTGACAGCAATTTTGTGGAAAAAAATAGTTTATATGCTCTTAATACCCCACAACTGAAGTGGTATTGAACCCCGTAAAACAACAAAGACTTTTCAGTAAGCAGTGATTGTTGGATCTCCTAATTAGTTGTATATTTGAGGTAAAACCATTTCTTTCAGGCTTTTTCATTAAAGCTTCCCACTCAAGCTATTTACAGTGTAGTCAACATTCACACTAAGGGTTGCCAGACACTCAAGAAGTATTGTTTCTTGGCATGACTAATTTGGGATCTGGGGGGATCTGGCTGTTAAATTCTTTCTCTAATGCAAAGTCTTACAAAGACTTTACAGCCTGGAGAGATGCATTGATGCCATATAAAGGGGAAATTATAATAGCTTGAATGAAGAGCAGCTCTTGAAGAATACATTTAAAGAAATTGGTAAGATGCAAATAAGTACAAATTGTAGCTATTTACAATACTTAGTACCCTGCTGACTGAAGGTTATACAAAAGGGGCAGTTACTCTGTCTTTCTCACTTGGATATATATTCTTCCACAGAAGAAGCCAATTATTATGCATTTGACTACCCCATTACATGTACTGCTGAAGGGGAAATGCATGTAAGAACCACTGCTGTCCTGAGGGAATTTTTATTTTTGTTTAGAAGCATTTTCCTGGGGACCTTGGGGAGTAGAAGCCTATTGTGGAGGAATAGCACAGATTCTCAGCTGATCCGTACTGCTGGAACCTGATTTTACTCAGAGGAGGTCTGACAATTTGTGTCAGCTAGGTAGTGTCTGAAGGAGTAATTCCATATACAACTGTGAGTTCCTAGTGATTGCAGGATTTTTAGGTAATGGACAGGTTGATGTAATTGCAAAGTGAAAGGCTGATCTTGAAGCCCCAATCACTTGTTTATACCAGTGGAATATCTGTGACAAATTGTTGTTAGTGATGGATTTTAAACATGGCAGGTATTTTTTCTTTTTACCTTCAACCTGAGCTGCTGTACTCTGTCCTGTATTTCCCATGTCAGACTGGTATCTTGTATCTGAGTTACAGTATGACTCCATAAGACTCCATAATACATTTGTCCAGGTTGTTTCCATTCGTGCATTCTCATCACTTCTCTGTGCCAGCAGCGTCTAGTTCAGGAAAACAAATGTACAGAAATCTATTCACTCTATTGCTGGGTTTTTTTCTCAGTTTGTTTAGCTCAGAAGCAGCTCACTGCTACAATCAATGAACATTAATGCTAATGTATAGGGTATGTGTGGCTGGAAATGAGAGGAGACATTCTGACTTCATTGATTTAGATTGCCTAAGCTCCTAAGGCTCATGCCTGAGATAGAAGACTTTGCCTCCTTTTGTAGACTGGAAGCCTACTCATGTGCAATCAGTACATTCCATAGCAGCTGCATTCTCTGGAGTTGCTGGGCTACTCCAGTTTACAGAAGCTCAGAATCTTGATTCATGAGTGATACCATCCCTAAATTGAGTTCTACCCGTATCTCGTTATTTGCACTGTGGAAAGCTTGCCTATTCTTTTCATGCCTGATTCTTTTTCTCCTTCTGCTGATGCAATTGTGCTGTTCTGTTAATGCATTTCCTCTTTGAATTTTTCAGGACACAGAGAGGTTTCAGACCTACAGTAAGGAGCTGGAGTGCAAACTACTGTCAAAGGAACAAGAACTGGAACAATTGGTTCAAAAACAGAAAAGGGTACTAACTGATATCCTTCAGAGTTAAAAAATAGATAACTCCTATTTGTTCATGTGATTTTATTTAGGTACTATTTCAGGTCCCAAAACTCCAAGTTGGTGTGATGTAATTCTGCCAAACTGTCACCCTCTGTTGCTTTTGTGTCATGTACTTAGGAAAAATGTAGAGTAATTTTCCTTTTATGTGATATAATGAAAAACATGTTTTGGATATTCTCTCCAGGTAGAAGGTTAATTTTATGAAAATGTAGCAGAATTTCACTGTCTTCAATGTGCTAGGAACTGGCTTAATACCCAGACAACTCAAGAGCAGAGAGGAATGATTTGTTTCTTCCAGTGTATACCTTTGCTCCAGACTTGTACCAACCACTCATTTACTTGTTTTGGACAGTTCAGCACTATGAACTTGAAATGCTCCCTCCTGAACAAACTGCTCCTGATATATCTCTGTGATAACAGTTCTATAGCAATGCACGGTTCTCTTGCATGGTAACAGCTTGTCGAATTCCCATATTAAAACCTGATGCATTTACTTCTTAAAATGCATGGCCTGCTTGGGGAAGCAGAGTATTTCGGAATGTGTGAACTTCCTGTAAAGTGTCTGAAAGGTCAGTGCAGGAAAAACTAGCAATAGGGAAAGGGATTTAAAGGGCTGAAATGGAATGCTGTAAACCCCATTCCCTCTGTAGAATATGATTATAAAATACATATAAATTTTTTTCCTAACAGCAGTGCTTGGGAGTGCCAATCCTGAGAAGCAGAAGAGGGAAAGGGAAGGAAGAGGAAAAAGAACTTTGAAGGCAGTTTCCTAGTTGTATGTAGTATTTAGATCCTCTTCTGAGGAATGAATTCAGGTACTGCTGAAGCTGATGGGAAATGTAGAACTGTACTTGAATCAGAGGAGAGACAAACCTCTAGCTTACTATAACTATGCAAGTTAGGGCTATCCTGGGGGGCTGTCACAAGTCAAATGAAGCACGTGATTGGTAAAAGCCGGTGTGGATTTACCAAGGGGAAGTCACACTTGAAAGACCTGTTTGCCTTCTACAAAAAAGTAACCTGCTTAGTTGCTGTGGGGCAATCTGTGGACACTACCTGGATTTCTCCAAGGCTTTTGATAAGGTTTCCCACAGCATTCTCCTGGAGAAACTGATGTGTTATGGTCTGGACAAGTGTTCCAGTGGAACACCACAAGTGTTCCATGCGGTGGATGGGGAACTGGCTGACAGGAGGTATTGAGGGGTGATGGTAAATAGCTCTTTTTCACACTGGCAACCTGGTACAAGGGGGGTCCATCAGGGATTGATACTGGGCCCAAGGCTGCTTAATATTTTCTGAAGTGATCTGGATTATGGCATAAAGTGTACCCTGACAAATTTTGCTGATGATACCAAACTGAATGGGGAAGCGGACACTTTGGAAGAGAGAACGAACCTTCAGGAAGACCTGCATAGGCTGCGGGAATGGGCTAACAGGAATCTTAAGTTCAACAAACACAAGTGTAATACCTGGGAAAACTTAATCCAGGAGTGCAGAACAGGCTGGGATCTACCTGGTTGGGGAGCCGTGGAAAGGGACCTAGGGCTCCAGGTGGACAACAAGCTCAATATGAGTGAACAGTGTGCTGCTGCAGCAGAGAAAGGCTACCAAGATGCTGGGTTGTATCAACCAACAGGAATTATTCCACTCCACTCAGTGCTTGTCAGATCACACCTGTAATACCATGTTCAGTTTTGGTCCCAGCTATACTAAATAGATGTGGACAGGCTGGAGAGGTTCCAGGGAAGGATCACAAAGTTGATTAAAGGACTGTGAAGCCTGGCATGTGGGGAAGAGCTGAGAGAACTGGGTTTGTTCAGTCTTGAGAAAAGAAGACTTGGAGAAGGCCGTGTTCCAATATTTAAAGGGGGGCTACAAAAACGGTGGACATTCCCTTTGTAAAAAGAATCACATGGAAAAGATGGGTGATGGGTCCCTGGGAGACTTTGATTGGACACATGATAAAAATTTTTCACAGTGAGAACCATAAGCCTTTGGAATAAACTCCCCAGGGAAGTGGTGGATTTCCCAACATTTGACGCTCTTAAGTTCAGCTGGACAGGGTGTTGGACCATTCTGTGATTCTATGAAGTTTAGCTGATGAGGATATAGGAGTGAACTAAAAGGCCGTTCCATAATTGAAATCAACTGCCTGATGTTAATTACCCTTGTTTGGTACAATCATGGATCAGAATAAATGTGGTTTTATGCAGGCTGTTTACCACATTGCAGCACTATAGTGAAATAATCTATATTTGGAAGATATCTGTGGGGGCACACAGATTGGGGATTTTTAGTCTGAAGCTAACTGCAAAAAAATACAAAAAATTACTTATTATACTTCTGTAATGATTATATTTTAATATTTTCTTTTGTTTGTTTTTGCTTTAAAGCTATGTTTAAAACTTAGTTATCAACCAGTAATTTTGTAAAAAACCTTTTTGTGTGTTTTTTTAAAGTATGTTTTTTCTAAATTTGGCAAAAACTCACAGAAGCTATTCAAAGGCTTACACTCAATTTTAAGCCTGGTATAATCAAGCAATACAGGCAACAGTATCAGGAAGTCTTATCTTATGAGTATTGTCTATGTTGCCATTGTCTACTATTGCCTATCTCAGAGGACATAAAACAATGTCTGTGCTATTTTTATTAGTATTATTTTTAATCCAATTTTATATTTTGCTTTTCTATTCACTGCATTGCTTATTATCAATAATATTACTGTGATTTTTATTTTATTTGTAATTTCTACTATTTATTATTTCCCCTCTCCCTTATGAATTTGCATGAATCACAACAAGGGTGCTTTTGAAGGACAGGATCTTCATACTACCATAAAAATTAAACTATACCATTTTATTTTTATGGAACAGAAGCTGTGTTAGACTACTGGAATTCACTATTTCTGATGATGTGATGATCGGGATAATTTTATTCAGATGATTGATAACAATTGAAACTTTTGTCATTCAACCAGTTGATTGGCCCATTGTTAATCTGATATGCAGTATTTGATTGGGGTTTTTTTGCCTCTGGTTTATCAACCTAACCTATTTATTTGAATGGGCTACTCAGTGTAGTTATTGGCAGTGTTTTCTACGTGTGTTTTTCTAATTTCTAATGAACTTCTCTAAAGTGACATTCATGTTTATTCAGATCTGGTTTTACAGTACCTTGTCCCTATTCATTTTCTGGTATTACTTTTCATTCACCTGGATATCCATGTGTGCTGTCTAAGGTTTGCCTTGTTGAGAGATCACTGTCACTTTTGCCTCTTCCTCTAGCATGAAAATATACTGTGATAATTAAATCTGTTCTTGCAGACAGTAATGGTAGCTTGATTGCATTATAACTTCCGTGCTTGATTGTATGAGAGAACCTCTTGGGAGTAATACAAATGCTTTTTTCCAAACTTCATTCATAAGTCTTTTTTTTTTTTTTTTTAAATGCAATGTAATTATTCCTGTGTTGGACATTATTATCAAAAATGTGAAAGGGAACTTCCAAACCAGATGACTTCAGTGTTGTTTCTGCTGACATAGTCAGGGGGATTCTCCCTTATGAGGGTCTCCTGCCTGGCATGACTGGAATATGGGTCTGATTCCATGTTGACTAGCCAGGATTCTTTGTCCAGGCCTTTTTGCTGACTGCCATGATCTTGAACTGTCAGCTTGCACTATATGGCTTAGATAATATACAAGGTATTCTCATCTCTTGTTCCTCAAGGGATGTGTGACGGAATGTCTCAGAAGGAGGCACTGGGGACAGGGGATGTCCAACCTAACATCTAGGGCACAGAATCTTGTATAAGGAGATGGAAGTAAGTTTGGACCAGGTCTGGAAGATTGAGGTGGTATCATTGTAATGCTCCTAGTACATTTTACATCCCTTAAAGAGCATACATAAAATAAAATAAAATAAATCTTTTATATTTTTAGGTCAACAATGTCTTCTCTAATATGAACTTTTGCTCTGCCATCTAAATTTGCTTGGTTAGCCAGGGAGAAGCAGGTAGAACTTCTTTATGTACCAGAGACCACTGTCATCTGCTGTTACCTGTTTCAGAGGGAAGGTGTATCTTTTCTTTGATGTACTTTGGAGAGTGAATATAAAAGTGAATAAAAAAGCTCTAATTCAGTTTTTAGACAGACCTCTGAATGACTCTGTGTAGGCCTTGCCTTTGTGGGAAATGGTCTAAAACAGCACTTGTGAATATCAACTAAGTGCTGCTGATCTGTAGCACCTTTTCTTATGGTTTGTCCTGGTGCATTTTTGAACTGGATGAAATTCAGTCATAGAGTGGAATGGCTTTGTTTTTGTGTAACATAGTTATGTCCGTACAAAAAGCAATGGAAGAGCGCTGTATGTGCTTTATTCATATTTTGGCTTTGATAGAAATAGCTTCCCTATTCAACTAACCTCTGAGATTTGAATTGAAAACCTCAAAACCAAGATGCCTTGGTTAGTTATAATACTTTCTGCACTCTTTTCTTCCACCCCAGCTAGAGCATCAATGTACAGAACTCCTCAGCGGTAAAGAGGAAACCAAAGTAGAGAACACCAAGCTGAAGCTCACTAACCAGGAGCTGTTGAAAGATCTGGAGAGAGCATCTCATGAACTAAGCCTGGCTCAACAACAGTTGGAAGTGCTTCAGAAGGAGGCATCAAGACTACATGAGGAGAAGGAAATGTAAGTCTCCAGCTGCATTAGTTCTAGTGCATTTGCTTAGTGTGCCAGTGAGCCTCTTTCTCAGGGTATTCAATGCAGTGATTTAAGCTTGTGTCATAAGCAGAAACCACCACCCCGTGCAGTTCTAGCCATTTCCCCCCAAGTAATTCAGCATACTTTCTGCAGCATATCTGGCTTCTACAGAATCTTTTTCTATGTGTTCAAAATGTCAGTGTTCTTCCCCCTACCATTTGTTGAAGTTATTTCAAATTAAAAATCAGTTTAATGTCTTAGATTTGAAATACCAGTGGGATTCCTTACAGATATTACAGCTGTGGCACATGATGCTCCATCCTACTCAAAGCTAAGTCTATCTGAAACTTGGTTCTCAGAATGCACTCTGTCTATGAGTCACCTAGGATCTACTTTTTTCTTCATCAAAAGTATGACTAGTACATAATTTCAAACCAGGGAGCCTGACCAGCAAGGTAAAACATAGCTTATCACAATTCACACAAAGCCTAATAATTTTGGAGGTTCCAGTTCAAATTTATGAATTTCAGATTCTGACCCCGAATTTAAAAAAAAAAAAAAAAGAAATATTTACAATTTGTATTTTGACGGATAGAAATGACCTTTAAGTGACATATCAACCTACCTATCTTGCCTCCAACCTTCTGCACAAAGCAGAAGTTATATTACCCTGAAGCTGTAATTGGCAGAAATGTTCACTGAAGTCCATTTTAAATAAATGCTCAGGGATCTGTAAAACCCTCTCACTACCAATGGAGAGCACATGAATGCCAGACATATCTAACCAGACTCTATACATTTCAGCAATGAACTGTGTAACTCAGAGCTTTTGCTGTTCGCCATATTTCAGGGTAGAGCAGAACATGTTCAAATGTCATATTCTTTTTCTCTTAAGCTCCATGCCAAATTCTACTTAGTTATTACATATTTATTTTTTTCTTGAGGGTTTAAATAATGAACTATTTTGATTAATTATTGTTAAGGAATGGCCACCATGTTTAGAACACAGTTTTTAGGTTTGCATGTTTGATGTGTGTTTTGGAAGTAGACAGTAGAAATATTCCTCCTCAAGGTGGTTTGTTTCCTCTTTGAGGCTTCTCTTTTCAGATCCAGAACAAAGACTATGGAATGATCTGATTTTAAAGCTACAAAGGAAATCTGCCCAGTGGTCAGACTGATGAATAACACTACTGCATTTACAAAGCACTTTGGATTCAATAGTGGTTTATGGAATTAGAGTTCAGCCCTGCTCAACTGCACCTGCAGTGTTGCTTTAAACATCCCTATCAGTCTGGTAAGACCTGAGCTGTTGAAGCAGGTGTAATGTTCAGACAATGCACAGGAAGAACTTGAGGCTTCACTGAAAGGCAAAAAACCATATAAGGCCAGACACCAAACTGCATTATGTCAAAGTGAATAATGTTAAAAAGGCTGCATAACTGTCAGGAGTTGGAAAGAAATTGTAGGGATTGTAGATGTGTGTGAGCCTGACATATGGTTCCAGCAGCAAGATAAACTCTAATTTTGCATAAAATATTAACTGTTTTTTAGTGGCCACGAGTGAGAAGTATTTCAGCAGTGTATCTTCTCTGAATGCTTCAAATGCCAGTATCAACATTTATTAAGCTCTCTGGATGAAGAAGTAAAAAAACCCATATCTTTTTAAAAAAGAACCTCTACTCCTTCCTCTGCTAACTCAAACTGCTGTGGTACTTTAGGCCTTGTATTGAATAAATTGTTTTAAAGTGAATAACCATTCATGCAGAATATAACCTACAGGTTTGGAAAAGCTGAAATCTCAAATGTAGATACTCCTAGGGGGAAGCATTTTAGCAGTGTTCTTACCATGGTTAGAACAACTTTTTATTTTTTCTTTTTATTACAGGGAGGTGTACCGAGTGACAGAAACCTTACAGAGAGAGAAGTCAGGGCTTCTGAAGCAGCTGGATCTTTTAAGGTAACACAGACCTTACATTCAAAAATTTCTTACATCATTCTAAAGAGGTACATTAAAGGATGACATTATGTTGGAATATGTACTGAGTGTAGGTATCTGGGTGCTGACAGTTTCTATGCCAGAGAGAAGAGGCTGAGGCTGTCCCATGCTGACACACAACACAGGGCACAGCAGAAACATGATGGTGCTTCTGGGAAAGCCTCTGTAGGAATGAGAAACAAAGCACTTTTGAGAGGGGAGTGAGAAAAAAATGTGTGAGAAAGCCCTTCAGACACCAAAGTCAATGAAGAAAGTGTGGTAGAAGGTGCTCCAGGCACTAGAGCAGAGAGTCCCTGGTAGCCTGACAGAGCCCATACAAGAGCAGGCTCCTGGCAGGAGCTTGGCCCATGTAGAGAAGCCCATGAAGGAACAGATTTTCTGCCAGGAACTGTGGGCCATAGGTGATCCACACTGAAGCTGTCCATTTGTAAAGGACTGCACCCCATGGAGCAGTTTGTGAAGGACTGTAACCCATGTGAGGGAACCCACACTGGAGCAAGAGAACAGTGTGAGGAGGAAAGAGCCACAGAGAGAAGCTGTATGGACTGACCACAAACCCCACTGTTCCTCATGCCCCTGTGCCAGTCAGGATTGGTAAGGAGGTAGAAGACATGAGAGTGTAGGAGTGAAGTTGAACCTGAGAAGAAAGGGGGTTGGGGAGAAGGTGATTTTAGTTTTGACTTTGTTTCTCATCATCCTATAGTTGAGTCTGTTTTGTCTGTAAGGGTAGTTGCTAAGTAATCTTCTTGTCCTTACCTTGACCCACCAGCTTTTCCATCTTATTTTCTTGCCTTGTCATATTGAGGAAAAGGACTGAGACAGTGGCTGACTGCATGTCTGGCAGCCAGTCAAGGTCAACTTGCCATAGGATAATGACACAAAAGATAGCAAAAATGGTTACAAAATACTTTTTTATGCTCTTTTCTGGCATATGGTAGAAGGCTGTACACCTGAAAGATATCCTTTGTTTTGGCAATTCAGTGTTGCAGGACAATCTCCTTTCCAAAAGTCAAATGTGAAATGGAACAACAGTGAACTGTTCTAAGCTGGTTCTGTGGTAGAAGCCTGGCTGCAGGACACAAAGCATGCTAAAAGGCTCTGTTGTTTCTGAAGCAGTAGGAGTTGAACCAGAGTAAATGTTCTTTCCCCAAAATGCTTGTTTGAAAAATGCTATCAAAATAAAGTTAGCTAACATTTTTTCTCTTTATTGATAGACTTCAAAGTTTGGAGCTGTGTTCAGACAACCATAGCCCTCTCATTAACGTGCAGCAATGTTAGGTTTTGTTTGCTCAGTAGTCAGTTTGCATGGGTTATACATTGCACCTGCCTTCATTGACTGCATTTCCTTTGGGAGGCCCCATTTTAAAGTTACCTAAAAATTTCACATGCTTGAGAGAAGGCTCTTATTTTGCAGTGTGTTTTCCATAGGCCACTCTATGTGGTATGATCTTGCCCGCTGCAAGTAATGGGGACATAGGTAGAAACATCTGACAACAGAGGTTGTTTCTGCTCACTCAGGCTGTAGTGGCTGCTCATTAGGGTCAGCAGTTCTAAAACTTGGCCTCAGTGTTTCTTTTGTTTTCTTTACAGAGAGATGAACAAACATCTCAGAGATGAACGTGACATATTTTTACAGGTAATCATTATTTTCAAACCCAGTGTTGAGCAAACACATATCAGAACAGCCTCAAAAGGGGATCAGAAGGCTGTGCCAGAGACAGACTTTTGTGCTACTTAAATCTTGCTCCATTTTCAATTTGTATTATCTTTTATTCTCACTTGAAAAAAAGATTTTTAAATTTGCTGAACAATTTTAAGAGCTACGTGTTCAAAATTATAAAGTTGGAGCTATCTGGAGAGAGATGAATGTGCTTTAGAAGAAACTAAGAATGCAATCATGAGGGGATGAAATAATCTAAAAATTTAACAACTAAATTGTGTTAATCTGTTTAGTCAAGGGTAGCTAATATTCTGAAAAGTTTATACAACAGTACAATAACTGAGTACCTGAATCAGTATGTGAATACCTATTGGTACTGAGTAAGAGCAGATCATATTAACTTTTTAAACAGCAGCAGAGAATGGGCCTCTAAGAATTTCCAGAAGAATCTTGGTGTAAGGAGACTAAGGTCATTTAGTTTACAGTTGTTTGTGTTCTTAGTCCTACAAGAGCTGCTGGTGTAAAAAAATGTATCTATTGACTTTTTTTCATGACATTATGCTGTTTTATTGTCATCCACTCAGTTTACAAAGCAGATGAATTCTTGCAGGATCAGGAGTTTCCCTGTTGTGATTTGTTATCAGTCAGGATTCTGAAGCATTTATACCCATAGGATTTTTTTTTACATTTTTTTCTTTCATATGCATTGCACTATTTAAGCATTAGGAATGAGGGCAGTTAACTACAATGAACAAGAGTAAATTAGTAAGAAGTATTCTGTATTTCTGCAGAAACGCAAAGCAAGTGTTCCAAAAGCCAGCTGGAAGCAAAGATCAGGGTCTGTCATTGGGAAATACATAGAGGGGAAGATGCTGCCTAACAGGTAAAAACTTTTTTTTCATGTGTTCCCTATTTGAGTATGATGAAGCTCATAGAAAGAAGATGAGGAATGTTTTCTTTCTGATACCTTTGGACTTTTCAAAGCATGCATTTCTAAAGTGTCTATAAGATTGCTGTGCTCATTAAGAAATTTGAAAATAAAGTGACAAGTTTTCACATAAAACTGCAAAGGCAAGGGATTTTTCCATTGTGAATGACTATATGCTGGGAGGCACAAAAGCTGTCCCATTACCCCATGTATGATGAGTATGGTTTCCTTGGTAACTTCCTGAAAGAGTCCATCTCCTGTCACTGCAGAGAATGTCAGTCCTGTTGTAAAGTATGAGATGTGCAGCTAGTTAAACAGAAAGAATTTGATTCTCGACTGTGTGGTTGTAAACTTGAAATCAACAGGAACAAGATGGTAATCTCAGTGAAACATTAGCACTTCCTTTGAGATGAGAGGAGCTGGAAAGTCTTAGTATTTCACTTTGAAATAGTAGCTAAGACAGTGACCCTGAAGGCACTGGGTCATGAACTGTAAGGAGGGAAAGCTTTCAGAGGTACAGTTTAGTATGTTCAGTACTGAGAAGTGGAGCATCATTGGCAGAAGCAGTTATGGCATAAAAAATCATGCTAAAATTTAGGTAGGAAGGACCTCTGATGTCTCCAGTACTATCTCCTCAAGCAGGTCTAACTCCTTAGCTAGTTAAGGTTGTTCAGGACATTGTTCATTTGAGTTTTTGAACACCTGGGTGGAAGTCCCACAGCCACTTTGAGCACCTGTTCCTTTGCTGCAGCAGTCTGTTGAAGAAATTTTGTTCCCTGTATCAGGTTGGCATTTCTTTTTTTGCAGCTTGCATCTGTGGTCATTGCACACATCTGAGAAGACTCTGGATATATTTTATCTACACTCTTCCTTCTGTTGAATCCCCACTTAGCTTTTTTTTTAATCCATGTTAAACAAACCCATGTCCCTCCTACCTGTTAAAGACAGAATTAGGTTACACATAGGAAGGATCTGGGTTGGGAAGCTGTATTATTCCTCAGGAATGGAGGTGGGGAGTGACAAATGAGAAAATCACAGTAGAGGTACTTCAGCTATTCCATGAGATTAGAACTGAGGTTAATCTCATGTCTAATTCTGCTTCAGTAGAGATTGGACTGAATCTACTATGCTTGCTGTGAGTAGTAAAAAACATGGGAGATTAAATTCAGTTACACTAGAATAAAGCAGTAGGAACCAGCTCCAATATGTTTTTGTGGTGTACTTTCTTTTTTTCTCTGTCTAGCCATTTATCTGAAGAAGATGATATTTTCAGTAACTCAAAGAGAAGGGATTCTGCTGGACTGAATGGAGTTCTCTCTGAAGAGCCTGATGCTGGAATCACTGGAGGAATGTCTAAAACATCACGTCTCCAAAGAATAATATCAATTGAAGAAGATCACCTACCCCAGCTTCTTGACAGGCTGGTTGATAAGCAGCTGAACAGATGGACTGGGGAAGATGGCAGTACTTCTGAGATGGAAGTGCATAAGAAAAACACAGAGCAGTCAATGGAACACTCGCCTTCATCTTCTAGAGAGCAACCTGTAGGGAAGGAAACGCTGTCAAATGTAAGAGGACAAAGGGAACCTCACCTTGAGTAGTGTGAATTTCTAGGCCCTATGATTTAAGGAGGATGTGAAGGTCCTTGAATGCATCCAGAGGAGGACGACAAAGCTGGTGACAGGGCTAGGAGGCATGTGCTGTGAGGAGAAACTGAGGACTCTGGGCTTGTCTAGTTTGGAGAAATGGAAGCTGAGGGGCAACCCCTTTGCTCTCTGCAGCTCCCTGAGAAGGGGAAGTGGAGAGGGAGGTGCTGATGCCTTCTCCCTGGGATCCAGTGATAGGATGTATGGGAATGGTTCAAAGCTGCCTCAGACTTGGTGTTAGGAAACGTTTCTTTACTGAGAGTGTGATCAGACACTGGAACAGGCTTCCTAGGGAAGTGATCCATGCTACAAGCCTGTCAGTGGATAAGAAGCATTTGGATAATGCCCTTAATAACAGGCTTTAACTTTTGGTCAGCCCTGAAGTGATCAAGCAACTGGACTAGATGATCGCTGTAGGTCCCATCTGACTGGAACTGTCCTGTTCTTTTCTATTCTAAAGAACCTTGGAAAGCATGAAATGGTGTTGAAGGGTAACGTGTTATTCTTAGAATCTGAAATTATTTAGTCTTCTGTTTTTAAGTTGAAGCATGACAAAATAAGCCAGTGGGAGATGGAAATATACTGCAGATAAATGTTGAAGGCGGTAACTGCAGACAGTGTGTGCATAGACTTATGTCTGAAGGCCTGTTTAGGAAAAGCAAAGTTAAGGCTTGTAATAGATGATACAAGAATATCCGCTGAAAGGTAGCAATGGCCTTAAAAAAGAAGACTTTTTCTGAAAAATCGTTTGGTTTATTTTTTGGTTTTTTTTGCTACGAAGTGGTATTTCTCAAATTCTGATACTTTTGAGTCAGTTTTGGTAGCTGTTACATTATCTGAGAAATAATGAGAGAAATATCATTACTTTTTAATTATTTTTTGAAAAGACTTAATTAGCGAGTAGAAATCCAATATTGTTTTCAGCTCTAGCTTGTATATGCATGTTAGCAATGAATTCACAATGCTGTAATAATCCTTACAACAATATGCTGGAAGGAACATTTCTGATGAGTTTAAAGTTCTGCTTGCACTGCTATTGCTTCAGAGCTAGCTGTGCTTGTTTTCTAATTTTAGTATCATTGTTAGGTATTACTCATTTTTAGATTCTTGAAGCACATATTAAAAAGATTAAAGTATAGGAAAAAGAGGTTTGCTTGGTCATAATTATATAGTTCTTTTAGAAGAAGCAAGCATATCTTAAAAATTATGGTAGAATTATGCCATGGTTATATAATAACTTCTAAGTGGTACCTTTTAATAAAAAGTCTAGGGTACAGAAGAGAGCTTCATCTTTTGAAATTATTTAATTCAATGAATGCTTTTTGCTTGCTGTATGACTTATTTCGTATCAGATTTTCAAAGGATGGCATCATTGGACTTCAGGACAGCAAATGTCAGGTACCTCATCCTGTGCAGCTAGGGCAAACCTGTCTTGCCTCCTCTGTTTCAGCAGTCATGCCCTTTGAAAGCACATCCTCTCAGCTGGGTAGGAACTAGATCTTGTTTCTTATTATATTTTTTTTCCCATAAACGGTTGACAGCAAGCAGGGAGTGGAGAGAAGAAACCATAAAATTTCTCACACCTGGTTGTTGAAAACATTTTATTTCAGTTTGTAAAGAAACGTGGTGAGGGTAAACATGAAGTTAATTTCCAAAGGTTACTTAGAACTGGGAATTCCTTGTTTGTTTTCTGTCTATGAAGTGCCAGTGATTTAGCCCAGCCTTTAGTTTGGATTGGTTTTTTGCTTGTTTTGTTTGTTTGTTTGTTTTTTAAATTTAGTTTTAAAAAAATCCCCAACAATACAGCAGCATACTCCTTTCTGGTAAGCTCTGTCCATGTGGCACTGAAGTATGTGCATGGTTCTCTTGGCCTGCCAAGGACTATTCAGTTGATGGCATTTCATTGCTTAGGGCAGTCTCTGTGCTGTGTAAGTGTCTGACTGCTGCTGTTTGATGTGAGTAGTGCATTGTCTCCTTCCATACGTGCTGCAGTTTCAGTCAGATGAATTTCTCATACAACTTTGTGTTTCCTAAATGATGGCTCCTGGGTTCACCACTTTCTGAATATGAGATTTAGACATCAAAAGCGATCTTGTTCCATACAGTCCTTGCACACTTATTCCCTCTCCCGACAGCATGCCTGAGCTAGAAGAAGTGATATTCAATTAGTAGGTGTTTTCAGGTCAGCTCTGCATGTAATGCTTAACTGGAGCTGAAGAAAACTTCAGAAAAAGGTAACTCGCTACTTGGTGCATCATGAGTTATGAGGTGTGAGTCTCAGGGCCACATGTCAACTAGGCTGTCTTCTGCAGCCAGTCTTTCTCTTTGCTTGCATTTTGCTGCCCAAAAGCTGAGCAGTACAAAGGAGTGTAGGATCTAGAAATACTTGTGCAAAGGGGGCAACACTTGTGTATAATGGCTTTGTACTACTTCATTCCATGATCTCGTTGCTTACTATACAGAACTCAGGGTCCTGGCTGCTGGCATTAAACCTTCCTATTCACCATATATTCACAGTAATTTAACTCCTAATCCTTTATGACCCACTGTATCTTACAGGTGAACCAATGTCTGCACCAACCATGTACTGTCCAACAACTGCCATTTAATCTGGGAGTTGACAATCAGGTAGAACATTTTTCTGAGTGGCTATACAGATGAAGTGGCAGTTAGCATTAGCAGAAATGTGATTGGGAAAACACCTGAAGGAACCATAATGGAAATTAAAGCAAAATGTTCTGTCCAAAACCTCTGCCTGAGATGCAATTCCTCTCCCCTCTGTTATTTCAATATGGCATATGAACCACTGGGTTTATACCTGTCATCTTCCACATTTGTGTTAAATTGCACAAAAGCTAGGTGTGTTACTTGACCTGACTACTGTTTAGATAAGGACCGCTCAAAAGACCCATCTAGGGAAGACTTTTTCAGACTGCATTGTAAACTAAACTAAATTTCAATCTACTGCTATTCCATTTTACCATCAGCACTTTGTTAAAGCAGACTGTGAAGTAGCTTATACCTTAGTATAGTGTTCAGATGCATGTTTATAATCAAGTTTGATTATTAAAGTTATTTTCATCAGTGGAATTGATACATCTCAGTGAAAAATGACTTATGCTGGGAGTTGAGCTGAAGGCCTTTGGTGTCTTTGAGTCTTAGTGCTACTGAGGTGTGTATGACCACTAGGGACAAGGTATTACAGGTCATGTAGTCCATATATTTAGTTATTGTTCTCAGAAGTGCTGTGAAAATGCTGCCAAGCTGATGATTGTATGTTAACTTTTTTTAATTTCCCAGAGCACACAGTCTAATAAGCTGGGAATGTTTTTCAGCAGAACTGAAAATGTGCTTTATATAAATGTATGTGTACTACTAGTAGCATACAGTTGCAGTGGGGTTTGGGATTTTAATAGAAAAGGAGGATAAGAAACCTCTGTATAGTTGTAATGGGCTATTAGCCCAGCTCATGAAAGAGGCATGTACTTTTGTCCCCGAAATTTCCAGCAGTGAATGATTTTATTTTTTTCATACTAAGGAAGACAGCAACTTGAGGTTTTGTTGTTTGGGGTTTTTCCCCAATAAGCGCATCTCTCTGTTTCTTCTTTCTGCAAGACTTCAGTATATTTGTAGAATACACTTCCAAGTCCAGACTTCAGTGTCTCATTCAAAGGACTGTTGGGCAGTGAATTCAGTTCTTATGTCTTCATGAAGGCAGCAGTCTTGAGAGTTTTGCACCTCAAATGACTGGCAGAGGGCCTTTCCCTCCCTCCTTTCCCTCCTCACAGCCCCCAACTCAACATACTAATGCCAATACCATCATGATCTTGCTCCCCTTTTGCAGCATTGCAAACAAACTTTCGAACTCCCTTTTCCTTCACCTTTACATAAAATAGAAGAGACCTGCTAGGGCACCCCCTGCAAACCAGCTGGTGCTACAGTGTTCTTCCCTAAGCAACTCCTGATCTACATACAAAGCAATAATGACCTACTTGACAGAGGATATAAATATTCTCTCCAGCATTCACTTAGCTTAGCCTGCAGTAAACAGGACCTGGATAAGCAGAACAAATCGTTGTTCCTTCTACTTAAAAAATGAAATGACAGAAACATAGCTGAATGTTTACAGCCAGATTAACTGGTCTAATTCTCTCTCTGTCTCTCTCTTTCCCCCCTGTTTCTGCCTGTAATGTTCAACAGATGCAGAAATGCAGTAATTGGATGGAAGCTCTTGGCTCTATGGTAGTAGCAGAGAGAAGAATCTGGTGGCATAAACCAAAAAATTATGACTTTGCTTCTGTTATGTAGATGAAGATGTGCTGCTTCCTCTGTGTCATTGGTATAGGGCGAAGCTACTGAGCAGAGCTGTGTGAAGCTTTATAAATTTTGATTTGTGGCCATGAACATAAACTGCCAAAATGAATTTTGGCAGTTTCATTCATTTTTCAATGCAGTGTCATGCAAAGGTTCATATTCAGTATACTTCCAGAGCTCAGTGCAAATCACTGCACTTCAAATGATCTGGAATGATGCATAGCAAACATCTGAAATGCTGAGTTATTTTAAGGAACAGAATATTGCTTCATGAGTAATGGAGAACATGATAGGATTTAAACTATTCTTTTTCTCATCTCAGCCTTAAATTGGAGAGGCAACAAAATTTATAGAACAGTTTGGGACTAATTTTTGCTCTTACTTGAAGGAGGAGAGAATAAACTCTGTCCCAGAGCACTTATTCAAGATTATTTTTGTGGGCAATTCGAGTGTGGGAAAGACTTCATTCTTAAGAAGATTTTGTGAAGATCGTTTTTTCCCAGGCACAGCTGCTACTGTAGGTAAGTTTAAGAAACATTATTCCTATTATTATTTTTGTTCCAACAGTACTTAGCGGCTTCTACTGAGATTAGACCCTGTGTTATAAAACAGAAGCATACAGATATTGTATAAGTAGGACATGCAAAATGAGTTCTCCTAAGCTGTGAAGCAGATAATTGATGGAGATGTGAAATCCTGGCAGCACTGAAATAAATCACAAAAATCCTACTGATTTCAGTGAAGCTGGAATTTCCTTATAGATCTCACTATTCTGAAATGGATATCCTGTCCTCGTACTGCTTTGGAAGAGAGCAGGTCTCCTGGGTGTTCTGCCATATTGAAACAGATATGTTGATTACCAGAGAACATCTCAGATAGCACTAGGTGCCTGTGAGCAAACAATTGAATTCTACCCTGCCATCCTCTCCAAATTAATCCAGTCAGAAAGAAGAGCCTAGGCACCAATTAACCTGACCCTTGATGCCTACTTCAAAGTGAGCTTAGTAATTTCCTAGACTTCTAGGTTTTCATTGACTACATCTTTATTAAGTGGAATGGGAGCTTAGACACCTACATGCAATTGTCTATTCATATATCCTATAGACCTATATGCTATGTCCTATCCATGTTGTTTTGTAACTGGCTAATACACTTCTCTAGACTCTGAGGTCTTACACAGTGTGTGCAAATTTTCCAGAAGAAAAGGAATGTCTGACCTTTTTCATATGTTGGCTGGTCATCCAGGGTTCTTGCAAAGAAAATGGCAAGAAAGTATTTGTCATAGCTTTGATTTTTAATGTTCACATCAGTGAGTTTCATAGGTGTGGACTATGGCTGGCAAGATCCAGGCAGTTGAAAAGTCAAGTGAACAACCTGGAGAAGAGTCTTCTCATTGAATTTCTACAGAACAGTTCAAATTTCTTCCCTTGAGATATAAGCAATGGATATGTCCTCCATCCAGATTTTGTAATTGTCTGTTGAAGGAATGCTGACGCAGATACTTTTTCATTACTGCCAGTGGCAAAAATCCCACTGATGTGGAAAATGGCCCCAAAGAAATGGTTGATGCCCTACTGAGATCCCTTCCAACTTGAATTATTCAATGATTCTGTGATTTTGTGATACATACATTGTGATACAAGAAAATGCAGATTGTCATTAGGAGGTAGTGACTGATTGACATTTAAGACTCTAATTATTGTTATAAATATCCAGAAGACACTTATATCTTCACAGGTTAGGGAAACTGGGAGTGGATTAATGTAAAAATTTAGATAAATTAATTTTTATCTCACTTCCATTTAGCCCCTTAATTAGGGGACTCATGTAACTGTAGTGAGCTCATCTTCTATGTTCCGAACAGGGTAGGTAGGGGGTTCTCCACGTGTTCTGTCCATTTATCTTCAGCATTTCTCCCAGGTTCCATTGTCCCCTGTGCTGTGTGTTGTGTTTTTCCACTAATTGCAGAAGGTACTTATGTGTCTACCTCTGACTAAACTAACAAATGTCATACAACTGAAGTTATACAGCATGAATTCCAGGCCAAATGGCTTGGGCTGGTGTGGACTGTCAAATGGCCCCTTGGCTCATGTTCTCTGATTTGGAAATTGACTTACCTTACAGCTTTCACAAAACTGAACTATGCTATTAACATTCATTATTTTATTACTGAAGAACTTCAGACAAATAAAAGCTCTTGTTGTCCTCTGATAGTTGGAGGCTATAGAAATAATTCTTAATGTAATATCTATCTTGTAACCTTTCTGGTATATTTACTATTTGCTGGATCCATTTTTCAGAGATCAAACGGCATATAAGGAGACAACTTACTTTGCACTTCTGTTGCAGGTGTGGATTACAACGTGAAAACTGTCACAGTAGATAATACCCAAGTAGCGCTGCAGCTCTGGGACACTGCTGGCCAGGAACGGTGAGAAACATTCTGTTGTGGTTTAACCCTAGTAGTCAGCTAAGCTGTGTAGCTGTTCCTCCACTCCCCCATCCAATGGGATGGAGGAGAAAATTGGAGGGGTGAAAGTTACGAAACTCATTGTTCGAAATGAAGACTGTGTGATGAAATTACCTCTATCCCAGTCAAAACCAGTATACATTTCAAGGTTTTGCTTCCTTGAATCGTCTATTTGAAGATTAGTAAGCATGGACCTAATCCTGCTTCTCAGGAGAGGAACAAATTCCTAATAGAGCCAGTGGATTCAGTTTAAATCCTTCCCTTGCATCAACAGTGTGCTGATTTGCTGCTAAGTCCATTGAAAAACTGCCAATCTGTAAAAGAGATTCTTGTTTGAACTCTTAAAAGTTTAACACTGCACAATTTCTTTAGGAGGAAGACTGATTTTAAAATACACCTAGAATTATTTATATGACAGAAAATGCCTTAACGGATAACAAAGAGGTTTTTTTTTTACCAAAACAATCCCATTGTAGTCAAAGAACTCCAAATTTCTTTAAGTTTTCAGTGGCAATTTCTTTCCCCATCTCCTCACCTGTTGTGTAATTTTCTGTTACTAAAGAGCATTTAATGAATGGGAAATTTCTCCTCCAATCTTAAAACGAAAGAGGGCGGGAGAAGATGAGATATGCAACTGGTTTTCCAGCTTAACCCAGAATCAATTAAAGAAAGCAGGGGGAACTTTTCCAAACAGTTTTTTTTTAAAAAGCCTTTTCTTTTTAAGCAAATTATTTGTCTTTGTAGTAATTTGTGGGGTCTGGTGCTTCAAGAAGAATGGGATTGCTTACTATGATTTATAATAAGCTTCACCTTTCAAACAGGATCTGCAGTGAAGATCAGTATTACAGCTTCTCTCTTGTCTAGTTTATGGAATTTTTGAATGCATAGGTGAACCATGTTAAGAGGGCTTTAACCTTTACTAAGGTGATGATTAGAAGAAACTGTATGGCAACATATTCCTTTGGGAGATGGAGGGGAGAGGGGGGAATTACTATAAATTTTTCTGTGTCAGATTGCCGCTTTTGTTGAAGAGAACTATAAACACGTTTTTACTTGTAGGTACCGAAGTATTACCAAGCAGTTTTTCAGAAAAGCTGATGGTGTCATTGTGATGTATGATATAACAGCAAAAGACACATTCACAGCTGTCAGGCAGTGGCTGATAAGCATTGAGGTAACATGACATAACGTTAAATCTAAACTCGAGTGTCATTATTCTCTACCTTCTTCTGAACAAGGGCTCTTAGCAGGGCAAAACACAGAGAGCAACATGTTTCATGTGTTGTCACAAGTACATTTTTGCTAATGAGTTTGGTCTGCACAGTTACCACTGAAGGTGTTTTTAATCTCTATCTGTGAAAAAGAATCATAGTTACAGGCTTTTAAGGACTTCAGATATGGGTGTGGGGAAATCCCAGCATGGAATCCTCTGATTTCTCATAAAGGTAATTTAGCTCATGACTCCCATTGGATCACTGCTAGTGTTGAGAGGTGCTTTGGATCAGTGATGGTGATCTGATTATCATTGATCATCACTAGCAGTCTGACAGCCAAGTCAAACCATGTAGCTCATGGGAGATTGACTATATTGTGAACATAAACCATAAACTTAAAAAGATGGTTTGAAGTGCTACAAAGTACTACATTAGTGCTATGAAACTGTCACATGATAGATGGTTCAGTTTCCTGGGAATCATTCTTTCAGCCACATGAAAATAAAATCCTAGACCATGCCACTGAGTGACTTGAGGAAACTAAAAATTAAAACATACTAAGAGTGTAAGCAGCTGAATTTGCTTGTGGCCAGAACAAAAAAATAAAACTCAGGCTGCTGCTATAAAAGGGCTGAGTCATAGTGAGAACAAAGTGTGACTTCCTGTTTGCTCACTGAAAAAGTAAGGGACAAATTGATATGTAAAGATCATTTATCCCGATTTTATTGGGCATGTGCTCTAATATAATACTCTGTTTTCCATAAAGACCAAGAGCTGGCTTTGTGAGTTCAAATTAGGACTCAGTCATTCAAATGTTTCCAAACAGGCATAGTTATTCCACATGAGTAGTCTCACTTAAGTAATGTTAGCATGCATTTGATAAGAGCAGGCCCTTATTAAATATATGATCTTAATAAATCAGTGACTTTTAATTCAGAATGGTAAAAGCTAGAAGAGCTTTTTAGATTTTGATTCAGAAAGATTGAATATTGTGGTTAAAACCTTTTTCCAAGCTGTAATAGTTCACTCTTCTTTACTGACTAATTTTGTTTGCTGCAAACTGTTGCTAAGTTGGACATACGGCCAAGTCCATTTACTGCTGTAGCATTCAGCCCACTTTATGAAGGCACTCACTGTGATAATTATAACCCTTTTCAGAATGAATTTTGATTTCTGTCTCTTCTATGTATTTTTGGGGGCCTATTCTGTGTATTTCTCCACTATTTCATGTAATTCATTTGGCATAATTGTACCCAGGTGTTGTCATTATTTTTCTTGGCCATGTAATTAGAAAAGCAATGGCAATAAACACACAATGTCTGAGCCTGTGTAGCATGGTGGTTTTCTCTCTCCCATTTTAATATAGAGTCTAACGAGCTTCTGTGCTGTTATTAAAAAAATGCCAAGTTAGTGTAATCTAAGCATTCTGTCTTTTTCATGTCTTTTATCCAACTTTAACTCCTGATGTGTTTGTAAGTAAAGTGCCACTTACCTGGCTCATGTGTTAAGTCTTAAATGTCTTGTCATAGCGTGACATTTGTTAGTTTTTATCCTCTTGATCTGTGATTTTTGAATACAGTGCCTCATTCAGTTGATATTTGTTCTTTGTTCTGCAGGAGGCAACTGGGGAGGATGTGCCTGTCCTTTTGTTGGGTAATAAAACTGATAATGAAAAGGAACGTGAGGTCCCTATGGGAATGGGAGAGCATCTTGCTAAGGTAAGGTTCCCTGTACTTAGGGAACTCCTTACAAAGCTTGAAGGTGAAGGTTTTAAAATGGAGTCTCAATGTATCTAAATTCATAGAAACACAGATTAATTTTGATCAGACAAGTATTTTTAAGGATTAGGAACCTCATCACCCTCATCAATTCATCTCTCAGTGATGTAATTGTTGATAATTATAGTAGTTATAACACTGTGTAGATTAAAAGAAAACACCTCAAAACCAAACCAACCAACCAAAAAAAAAAACAACACCAAAAATGACTGGAGAAAAAAGAAATCTAAGAATTCACTCTAACTGTCTCTCTCCTGTGTCTCTTCTCTTTTTGTCTCTCTTTTGTTTCTTCCCTTCCTTTTTTCTCTCTCTTTTTTTCTTCCTTTTCTCTGTGGATGGATTCTTAACAGAGAGATAATTTGGGGACCTTTTCTCCCTCCTACCTTCTGTAAAACCACAGAGACCATCTGTTACTCCTGTGGTAGGAGTAGAAAACATGTTTACTTTTAGTTACTTTCCGTCAAGGAGATAAAATGAGTTAGCAGTCTGCATCTACCACAGCACTGGTTATCCATGGGCATAATTTAAGCATTAAAGAGACTGCAAATACCAGATACTTGTTTATATTCCTGTGTGCCATGCCTATCAAATTTTCTTTTGACTCTTTCTATGCAGTGCATATAGTTTGAACACCAATGCCTGCAGAATATTCATTTATTTAATAATAAGTCATTACAATATTCCTGAAAAATTAACTGAATTGCTAGGAATATACCTACATTAAACAATGTGCTGGATTTCACATATTTACTTGTTTCTCCTTTGAAAATAGATTTACAGCTCTGCTTGCTAGTAATCAAAAAGGGTATTTTCAAAATTTGAAATGCAGCTGAATTTTTCTTCCAGGAAAGATTGCTGCTAGGCACCTCTCTGTAACTGAAAGAATTAAGGCCAGATCTCTTTTTATCTTAATCTGGTTATTCATACAGCCTTTTGAAATCATACCTCCATATTCAGGTTTGTATCTATTATTTTGTTTTAATAGGAGAGAAATATCAGTCTTGAACTTTATCCCTCAAAGATTGTCCCTGTAGGAAATCAGCTTTATTTTCTTTTATGCATGGATATGCCAATAGCTTTGAGACCCTGGAGGCTGGAAGGTACTCCAGAGTGTAACATTGAATCCTTCTGTGAAAAAACAAGTGACACATAAATGCTAAATGGACAGAGAGTAGGTGTCTTACATGTCATCTCACTCTCTAAAAAAACTGTACTAGTTAAAACAGAGATGAATCATTCTAGTATATAGAATTCACAGCCCACCAGGCTATTAATTCTAACATGTCATGCAAAAAAATAAAATGTTTTGCATAAGTAAAACAAAGAAAGTTGTCAAATAAGATGGTTATAATCAAATGAATGGATCTGAATGACTCATTTGAATGTGTGAATGTGCTGCCTGAGGTAGTTAAGGAATGATTAATGACAATGGATTAGTTGAAAAGCAGCATAGATATAATTAAATTATAATAATTTGCCTGCTGAGCTAATAATAACCATGAATTTTAATGAAATATTAATTCTTGCTAAATGACCATGTAATTCCTATGAAACCACATACCACTGTCTCTATTTGTGAATGCAACTGAGTTACTTACTTTGTGAATAATCACCTACAGTGATTACTCACACATGATCCAAAATACACCGGACTAGATGCTGAGATGATACAAATACAGCCATATTTGGTGAAAACAACCTGTTCTTGTGCAGACAAAGAAACAGATTAGCCTGTTGACCCTGAAGTCCAGCAGTTCTAAGAACTGTTTCAATATCTCACAGGATGGGTTTGGTTTTACCTAGCTTTTCCTGTAGTCGGAAAGGAATGTGTACTTTCAGAGGCCATTCCAGCCCAGCTGTGTTAACCCTTGTTTTGCTTCTGTCCAACACCTTGTAAGTCAGGGTACTACAAATTCACATAACTCCTTTGCAAGGCAGGCAGCATGGTTTGTTATTAAAAGGAAGAATGGCAGCCTGAAGAGAGTCCTCGTCATTTGAGAAGACTGGTAGTTGCAGTGTGTGTTACACCTTGAGAAAAGGGAATAGAATGACCATAGGGATCATGGAAATCCATTTGACTTTTTCAGCAGAGGATCCAGAAAGAAAACTCCATTTAACAAATTTCTGTTTAGCTTAGCTTGATCAAGAGATCATATAAGCACAATACATAGAGTATTCAGACATATTGTGAGCATCCAGGAACAGCTGATGTTCTATTTTAATGGATTAGTGTAGCCACTGACAATAATTAAAATAAAATGCTTTATGATAAAGGTGCTGTCCAGGCATGCTTGTATTCAGAATGATTTTATTTTGGCACTGCACGTTTCCTGAGAGATCTTAAGCAGGTCAATAAATCCTTCTCTGTCACTCTTCCTTAACTATAAAATAAGATAGTAATGCCTTTGTCAGCCTTGACTGCAGACTATATGTGCTTCATGGGATGAGCACTGTTTCTGTGTGTTCCTACAGTGTCTTCTTTGTCAACCTGTCAGTGGCATTGTTATATAAATACTGCTAATGAGGGAGCTATTCTCAGAGTGATATTACTTTACAGGACAGAAATCACCCAGCTCCCTTTAGTAATAATTAATTTTCCTACCTGTTCTTTAGATGTCTGCTGATTTATAGGTAAGTTTTTAAAATGAAGTAATTGGCACTGGTCTCCAAGGTTCAATAGCTAATTCTTGGATGGAGATGGATGGCATTTCTTGGCTACTTGTGCTCCTTGGGTATGCTATCAATTAAAGTTTCCTCTTTGAATCAAAGGAATGACACTTTGCATTTCCAGGCTGTCTCCCCTTTCAGAGAAAACCTTTTGCCAGCCAGACAGAATTAAACCATTATTATCAATTGAGTTTAAGTTGCTATCTTTCCATTTAGATTCATACCAGCATAAACGATGTCATCACTGGGAGTTCTCCTCCAGTGACATTCTGTTGTATGTGGGGAAGATGTCAGAGTAGTATCACTCTCTGCTTGACTGACATAAAGTAGCTGTGGGTTTTCTGTTAGAGTTCTGATCAGCTGAGCAGAAAGAGGAGAGTGTAAATTTTATTTCAAACTTCTGTTTGCATAGCTAGCAAGAAATTTGACCCAGTCAAATTTTATCTTAAACCTTTTCTAAGAAAAGCAAGAGAATCATAGGGTTACATAATTGTAAATGTTATACAGAACACTGGTTAAAAAAAAATAGCTATCTAACACTAACATTGCCTGATTTCTTCCTTCTCTGCTCTTCTGTGCTTATGTGGCCATCCAGAAATTACTGTGAGTGGTTCAATCCTGTTTTTCACTAGAACAAACAATACAGCCATTGGCAACGTATACAAAACTAACATTTGTTAACACCGAAGCCCTTTGTTAATGATTCTAAAATAAACTACCATATTTATGATGTTTCTTTTCCCCACTTTTTGTCTCTGAAATTTTGTGAAGACAACAAAAATTTACAGAAGTTGTGTGAATTTTGAAGCATGGTGTATACATGTAAAAAAGCCCAAACCACAACTGGAATACCTGGTTATTTTAATGGGAATCTTTGAAAACTGAATTGTAAGTGTCTTATGAAAAGTGGTTAAATAAATACTAATGCAGTAGTCACAGTTTATAACAAACAAATGAAAATTTGCAGATGTGATTGTAATTTCCTAAGGTACTGACTTATTTATCTGAATTTTAAGCTACTGCCATAAATAGCAAGAAGACACATAGAAAAGTGGAAAGTGACTAGAACCTTGAAATCTGGATGGGTAAAAGGACATGTTCTAAAACCATAGAGGCAGTGTAGGTGAGCTGTAATGTAGTATGTTGTGGAGGTAGACAGATGTCTATTTTGGAGGATTATCTGTCATTCCCTTTCAAACTTCTTTGCAGTCACAACTGCCAGGTCAGGCTTTTGTGCAGATAATCTCTTGCATTTGCATTTATGGTGATAAGACTTCAGCTGAAGTGCAGAGAGTCTCTCCAAGACTTGATCATTTATCTTCTGTTCCTAATTGCAAAGCTCCCAGGGGTTGCAAAACCAAAGGTGCAGGCTGACTGCAAAAGTAGGTGCAGAAAAAATTCACATATACAAAAAGATGAAACAGAAGTTATTGGAATTCTTTTCTCCTGCTTTGTCCAGCACTCGGTGATGTACTAGTTGTTTGATTGTCACAAGGAAAGCTCTCAAGACTTCAGTACCTTACAAGGCATGTTTGTGTTTCAGCTCTTACAGCTAAAGCTACTGTATAGAACAAATATCTGCTAAGAGAATCATATAGTTGTTTGTGACCAATGGTTGGACTTCTTTTGTTACTCTTTACTGTTAGCTCTAGAGTTAAATCATAATTTTTCCGATGATATATTTCTGTTTCTTTATTTGCATATTTCAGTTTATCTGCATTGCTTTTTGAAAAACTGGAGTGAGATATTGTGCAAAAGTAATTGAAATGGTCTTTCTGTTTGATTGTAGGATTACCATTTAATTTTCTATGAATGCAGTGCATGTTCTGGGTACAATGTGGAAAAGTCTGTGCTTCACTTAGCTAGGTAAGAAGAAACACGCAGTCTATGAGTTCTTTACATGCCTGACTTCCCCATCATTGATGACAGAGTGAATTCTCTTGGTTAAATTAGTTTTATAGGAACTTAGAGTGATGAAATATTTGTTCCTTTTAAACTGATCTGTAGCCTGACCCTGTTGCTCTGACTGAGTAGTTGCTCAGGTGCATAAAGAGTCCTATGTTAGGCTAGCAAAGCTCTGTATAGGTCCAGAAACACATGAATTGTTGCCAGGAAAGCTGAGGGCCTAGGATGTTGTGATAGGTCTTGCAAGAATGTCTTGAAGGTTTGGAGAAATATACCTGAAAATGGATGCTGCTGACTCCTTGCAGCAGGACATTGGATATGCTTCTTTCTTCCCTCTGCTCATTACAGCTCGAATTCTGCTGTCTGCCTGGGGACTGGGAGACAGGGAGAAATGGATTTTTGAAGTTATATAAAGGCTAGAGGTAAAAATACAGGAAAATATGTGCCCTCTGAACTACTTACAGAAATAGACACTGATAATGAGTTAGCAGATCTTTAATATTGTTGCTGAAATCAGTGAAATTTTGTGAAAGTGTCAGGTAATTCATAAATGTGTAGGTAGCTAGATACGGTTTTGTTTTGTTCCAGCCTCAGAAATAACAAACAGAAGTCACTGTTTTGAGTCTCCATAACATACAATAAATGCTAACAATCAGCACTAACTGAATTTTTCTAACTAAGTGAACAAAGGCAGTTTTGTGATGGAGCCACCGTAATTGTACTTTTCTGTTTGTTTGTTAGTTTGCAACATTCTATCATTTTCTGTTATTCTCTGGACAATTCTATAGGCTTGGGAAAATGTTTTTTGTTTGATCTCTTATGAGTATTATTGACTTTTTTCTCTAAAGCATTGTTTCTTTCCCCCAGGTTTTTAAAAGAACATGAAGATAAAGTGAAAGAGAAAACCATTGAACTTCAATCTGATATGAATAAAAAGTCTTGCTGTATCAGGCAATAAAATGCTGGGGCGTGTCATACGTTTATACGACACTACATAGCACTGTCAGATTTGCTTTTATCTGCCAAATATTCTGCTGTGTTCTGAGTGTAGGTGTAAGTGAAACTTAAAATCTTCATGTGCTCTGATCTCCGCTTTTATAAATATTACCTTCAGTTAATTGACAATGTATTTGGGGCAGTAACAGTCTTTTAATTCTGTTTGATGCCTAACACCACTGAATCCTGCTTTATTATCAGGCTTGTAGAAGATACCATTTTATTAATAATAAGAAATAACTTTATAGGAAGAAAACTACTTGGAATGTGAAGTAAATTCTTACTGATGTTAATGACCTGTCTTCTGAATACTGCTTATTTCAGAGCTCTTTAGATCCTGATTTTGTGCTAACCTTTGTTACAGTTTTTTAAAAATTGGTATAGGTATAATTGTTGGTAGTACTAAGTATGTTAGGCTGACTGAACAGGTCCTTATCTCCAAAAGTCTGTCATACAAAGTTTCATGCCAGATGTTGGAGGTAGAATTTTCAGAAACGGCAGATCTTACTTTGAGGAAGATTTTGAGAAACTTACCAGCATTTAAGGAGTGAAAAATCTCACCAAAATCCAGTGAGATATTGCTCTCTTTAGCAATGTTAAGAAAAAATTCCTCGTGTACTTAAACATGTGACTGATTTTTCAAAAGCATCTGCCACACAGCGTTCCCCCAGGGCCTGAGTGCACTGAGATACAGTGTTTGAAAAATCAAACCCACGGGGATATGTTTTAGAAAATCAGATCATAAGAAATGCAAATGTCATAATTAATTTTGAAAACCTTTGTCGAATATATACAAAAAAAAGAAACTTAAGAATGGGTCACCCTTCCAGCACATGATCAACAATTATTCCTGTTGGTATATGTCTTCACTGCATAAAGCTACTGTGGTAAGCATTCAAGAACAATTATCCATGATGGCGAGGTTGTTTGGAAACTAGAACGCATGACATAATTTATTATGCATTAAAATATCAAGCAAAACTGTAGATTTCATTATATGAGACTGTTACAGACATTGTTTTTAATTCCTTTTCTAAATGTTTTTAAAAAGTTATTTTTCATTTGAATAATGAATCAATTTGAAACTACAGATGAATGTTAAGCACTAACTCAGTAACTTATTTTTGGATAAAAACTTTGTCAGTAATTAATTGTGCCCTTGGGATTTCAGTCTGACCAAAGGTATGTATCGAGTTCCAAGAACTATACAATAGAGGTTTGCAGACTTTCCCCTACAACAATTTCTATATCCATACCAGCACTCAAATACCCTTTCCTATGAGTTGGGATCCAAACATGAGCCCTTCCCTCTCAGGTAGCATAACCAGGGTTTTAATTTTACTTCTATCAGTAATGATAGATGAACTAAGTAGCCCAGGATAAGCTGATGCTTAGGAGTTTTCCCCTTGTTGATTCCTGAGAATCTACTCATCCAAATAAAAAAAAAAACCCTTTGGTTTCAGTGAGGTGCCTAAGAAGCTGTAAAACACAAAAGGAACACAATAAGCATCCATTACTGAAAATCAATAGGCTTTCTGTTCACTTCCCAGGATTGCTTCTTGAAAACCATGATTGCTTGTGGAAAGATGAGTCACGTTATCGACTGTTGCATGTTGTCCATCATGGAAATCTCAGAACTGAACCATCTGTGTTCGGTCCTGGCTGAACTAGTGCAGCCCCTAATTTAAACATCAACAAAACCAACTCTTTGTCCTAATTTCAATTAGGGAAGAAGTGTCATCAGTTTAAATATTGGCTGTGCTAATTGGCTTTGAATGATCTGTTCCCCTGCAGTAGAGTGTTTTCTACCCCGTCAACATCAGAACTGGCAATATTTCTTCCAGGCCTCTGTAAGCCTCAGGAAGACAGTTTGAAGGCTTAATTTCAGCTTTACTGCCCATGACTCTAGCCTCACAAGCTCCCAAATTCAGATCCTTAATTTCTTATTCCCTTGAGGGTCATCTCAATTTTGAAGGACAGTGACATGTGAGGTGAATTTTCTTTATGTGACTTCCACAGGATCATTTTTATTTGGACGTCTTTTAGTGTGCACTGAGACCCTGCTAGCAGAATATACACAACTTGAGGGCAAACAATGCTAAGGAGCAGCTGAATCCTGTGATGACAGGGATTTCTTCTACTAGAGACAAATCTGGTGCAATCTAAGACCCAGGAAGTATCTTGTGTCTCGGACTGATAACTGTGGCTGATGCTGTTCCTTTTTGTAAGTCCAGCCGAAACCCAAGCAGAATACTATTGCAAAGGTGCAGATACACACACAACACTTAACCTCATCAGCCACACAGACCACACAGAGATTGATGTCTTCACTGCTTGTCACCCACATTACACAAACATCATTCCCATAAATAGGAACACAGATAGCCCAATCCTCTTCCTTTCCAACAAATCAAGATTGAAGTTTGCTAATGAAAACATCCATGTATACAAATCCTGTGACTTGCTGTGCTCTCCCCCTCTCACTCTGCCCTCATCCTCTCCCCAGAATCATGCAGAAATTTGGTAGAAATAAGGTTTAATAAAAAGATTGAGTAGCCTGCAGCTATGGGATACAAGGCTTAGTCAGATAAGCAGCTTGCTTGTATACAACTGGTCCCTTTACCTTTTCTTGATTTTTTTTCCCATGCTTCCACCATCCACCCTGACCTCTCCCTTTCTTTGCCCTTCATATCTCAAAGAAATAACTTGTCCCTAGATGCCTTTTCCCTGTTGGTCCCAGATTTTCTACATCTGTACTCCCATACATATTTCTTCCTACCATTTCCTAAGTTACCTCAGCTTTACATGCTATTATTGGTATAATTATTTAGGTGCTGCTGGCCTTGCAGGTTTCCACTCCCAAAAGAGTCCCTACTGTTCTGTTCTAATTACCTGTGAAGTTACTGTGTAACTCCCCCTTCTCCACTTGTGAAGTCCAGCTGTTGCTCACAGTGCTGTCCGTAACTGTTACCAGCATCTCACTCTGTTATTTGTAATGTTCAGAGTTGCTTGTGTCATGCCCAGAGTTTTTCATGGTCTGTTTGATTAGCTAAACCTCAGGCCAGGGCCTAGTCACCCGTTGGCACACCTGAATAAACAGAACTTATGGATTGAACAGTGCTTACAGAACACAGGTATGAATAACATGTGAAAAGACTCTGGTTTGGGACAGGTTCTACTGCCCAGGTGGTCATCAAACTGGTGTGGGAATTGTCAGCTTTCCATTTTCCTTGATGCCATCTTATCTCTGTGTTGCTGGATTGCTGTCTTCTGACTCTCCACCAGGGTTTCATACCTCTTGTCATTATTTTTCTCAGATCTTCAGAAATCTAATTCTGGCTTGATAGCAGTTAAACTTTCTTCCTTTTCCCTTTCCCTCCCTCTCCCTCTCCCTTTTTGCATTAGCTTTAGTTTGCTCGCAGTCTCCCCGTCCACCTTTTCACAAAAACTTTTTGGATGAAGATAAGCTGAGATCATGATGCAACTGCGCATCATGTCCTCTGGGTCATGGAGTCTTCCATGAAAAAAATTCATAGGCGGTGTAAGATTGATGACAGTAGTGTATTCTTTTAGTGATGTATAAAGTCTTGAAAATTTCCGTTACTAGAATGAAAAGTACCAACAATAGAGAATGAGAAATTCTGCTGAAAAAATAGCTCCTTGCACTCAGCAGGCTTCATCCTCTCAAGTTCACTGATGTAACTCCTTGACACAGACGTGTTTCTTCTTCTTCTGTACAGTGAATCAGCTCACAGGCAGTTTTCATGTACGTAAACTCTTAGAGAGGATGATGAGTTGGTAGGAGAAAGTGGGAGGAATTTATCTCAACCTGGTCAAGTACCCAATACTAACAGATCTTTGGGTATCATGCACACTACAAAGCATATTTGCATGGATATAAAACAGTGCTTCTAGCCCTTTTGAATGGGGAGATCATGACGTACTGTGTGCCAGCCAGAAATGATTCCAGCCTGCCCAGATGCGAACCGAGCAACAGTGGAAAAAAATCATTGCACACTCTAACCTTACTGAGAGTAGTGCACAGCACCTCCTCCCATGACATATTTAAGGAGCAATCTGCAGCCGTTAAGGTGGGAACACTCCACACACAAGGAATTGAAGAAAGTTTGCCTCTGAAAGAACTGCAATCAGTGGTCACTTCTCATGCTTGAGCAGGGAAAAATGAAGAACAGGACAACTGGAATCCCTGTGTCCAGGACAACTGGAAGCACTGGGCAGTGAATGGTAGACGTCATATTACTTGGTTTGGCCCAAGTGTTATGCACATTGCCTCAACTTCTGTGCTGCCTGTTGGCTCGCTGGGTAAATTCTAACAGAGTGTACCTCATGTGAAGATAAAAGAAACTGAAATTTGGGAGCGGAGGAGAGGAAAAAAAAATGTACATGAATATTTTTGTTTAGTGGTTTGCATTCTTTTTCTTTCCCCAGAACCTGAATCATCGATAAAATATTTGTGTTGCTTCGTAGTAAATTAACTCAAGCAAAATTTCCTAACTTGAGACCGTTTTTGTTTGCAACATCCGTATATTGGCAGAATTTTCTACCATGTGAGATCGTTTTGGAATAAATCCACTTCATCATCTGCACAAGTGGAAGCTTGTTTTAGAAAGCAGAAAGATGCTCATAAAGCTAATCAGTAGCAATTTCCTGAATTCATCCACAGCTGTTGAAATAATGGGTCTTTTTGATTACTGAAATTACAGGAATTGCAATAGCACTCACATATACTCTTGAAAAAAAGAAAGATGGACACTTTGACCTGTTTACACCTCAAACAACTAAAGTTCTTTTAATATGAAACTAGTAAAAGGCAACTGATTATTTTATGATGAAAATAGACTTCTCAAGGGAAAAAAATCTGTAGGTTAAATTTAGAGGCAGGTATAAAAGTTCCTTCCTATTACTAATCTGAAATAGTGTATGTAGTGACACTGATTCCTTCCGAATGTACTGGAAGTTAAAGGACATCTGATTAGTCAGATAAGCATTGCTGCTTTCCTTTCAAACTGAAGAGGAAAGTGTTTCAAACAAATCCAGCTATACTGGAAAATGATGTTTAGCTTCTGCAGCCATCAGTGTCCTTGCAGTGCCTTTTCTAGAATGTGCTTCTTCTGGGCACAACAATCATTGCAAGTCTTGCCATTCCTAGAAGAACTCAGATTCAGAGGAGCTTTCTCACTAGGAATTACTGGTTTTCACTGAAAACAGGAAGTGAGTAGGGAAGCCTGTGGAATGGAGACATTCAAGTAGAACATTATGTGACTCCGAGTCTTACTCAAGTGCTCATATTACTTGAGTGCTGTTTATGTGTACATGAGTAAT